AAAATTTTACTTATTTAGCTATAATTATATTTCGAATAAATTATAATAATAATAATAATGAAAATATAAAATGGATGAAAATATAAATGAAAATAAAAATTAAAATTGAGATTAAAATCAAAAATTAAATTAAAATTACAATTAAAATTAAATTACAAATTAATACTAAAAATTACAATGAAAGCTAAAAAATAAACAAAACTGAACGAAAAACTAGAACTTAGTTAAAAATAAAGATTTAATTTAGATATTAATATAATATCAGTATTAACATTAAAATTAGAAAAGAAATAAAGCAGAAAAATTAGCAGTGACATAATACGATTTTAAATGATTTAACTATATTAAAAAAATAGATATAGTAAAATAGCATAAAAGAAAAGGAAAAAAAAAATTGGAAACAAAATAAAAAGCAAGTAATTTGAATAATTAAATTAAAAGAAAATAAAAAACTAATTAAATAGAAACGAATTAAAACAATCAAAAACTAAATTAAATAAATTAAAAATGCAAACGAGCGCCACTCTCAAACGATTCGAACGGCATCCAGAGGAATCGGGCACGAACTTATGCACTCATCCAATGAAATATAAAATAAAAAAATGGATTAATAATAAGAATGTAATGAAATAAAATTAAAATTAAAATTAAGATTAAAATTAAAATTAAAATTAAAATTAAAATTAAAATTAAAATTAAAATTAAAATTAAAATTAAAATTAAAATTAAAATTAAAATTAAAATTAAAATTAAAATTAAAATTAAAATTAAAATTAAAATTAAAATTAAAATTAAATCAAATAAACATAATAAAAAATGCATAAACAAAATTAAAAAGCAATAAAATATATATGGAGAATAAAATTGTAGAAAAAAATACCAAACTCATAATGAATAAAATAAATTTCCCAAATAAATAAAATGAAATGAATGACAAGTTAAAAAACCAGCAATATTGACACTGACACCCCTCCAGGGTGGTGAAAGCAAAGCTTTGTATGCAACGCGCACCCCGTCGGCTATTTACTTGCTTTTCATAATCATCCTTTGCTCCTCTAGCTGTGCATATTTGTACACTTGTGAGCGCGGCCGACTTAGTATTTGCTTAGTCAACACCATGCGACACACACAAACATATACACGCACATGCTAGGTTTTATGATGTATGAGCTTGACGCTCAAGCCGGTTTCCGTTGTTTGTTGTTAACAACAACAACAACAACAACTACAACAAAATGCTGCTTGCTCAGTGCAAGTGTAGTATCTACATTTCCGTTAGAAGTATCCAAATAAAACGGCACAAGTTAACAAATTTAATAGCAATTTAATGTTGTAAAAGTAAGAGACAACAATAAATAGAAAAATATATATATTGTATATATCTGTATGAACAACAACAATGTTTAAGAAATAAACAAAAAATATTGGAAAAAATAAATAAAAGCTGAGTGAAAATATATTTTCCCCCCTCCCCTCTCCTTCCGTCTTAGATGCTAAAACCACTTGCCGCTCTTGTGTACTTTGAGGCTGAATAGCAACCCGTAACCCACCAACCCGCCATCCAGTCAGTTTGCTTCTAAACTGCCGCAGCACTAAGTACGCGGTGAGTACACACACTGTATGCCACGCATTCGTCGCCTGCTTGCCCTTAGCACCTTAACAAAGTTCATTTGTTACTTTATTGTTGTTATTGTTTTTAGTGTAATAGGTCGTTGGGAAGGTCTACCTCTCACACCACTACCGCGCCAAGCATACTTAACCCACCATCCTTTTGCCCATCTCTGCGTAGTATTTTTATTTACTTTTTGTTTTTAATTTTTTGTTGCTGTTGATTTTGTTTTGCCATCTTTTTTTTTTGTTTTATGCGGAAGCTACAAATATCTGCGACGTTCTGTCGACTCAGCACATTCGTTTCGTTGGCTTTGTAACGCGCGGTTTAACGACAGCCCATCTGTCTGTCTGTCTGTTTGTGTGCGACTCTGTACACCCACTAAGTGCCTGTATATCTCTTATACTTGTAAGCTACTTAATTACTTACTTACTTACGCGCATTTATGCTTAAGCTGTTGTGCGGTTTTTGTGCGGATATTTTTGGTGGTTTTAAATTTATTAGCTTACACGTGTTGTTTATATTTTACTACACCCACGTGGTCCTGCAGCAGGATATTTTGGTGCCTCTTGACATATTCATAAATTAAGGTAAAGCACAGTGTTTGGAAGTGAGTGAAAAATTAAAAAAAAAAAGAGCAAGCGATGGTAAAGTGTACTGAGAAAGGACTTTTGTCCTTAAAATAAAATCTTAAAAAAAAATATGTTAAAGATAATCTCAAAAAGAAGTTTAAAAAATTAAAGTTTTACTCGAAATTTCCTTGAAGATTATAAAACTTCCGATTCCTAATCCTATTGTGCTGATAAATTTATTATTATTTTTCTCATTTGGTGTCTTGCAAAAATGTTCAAAAATTTTCTTTTTAGACTTAGATCCGAACCACTTCTCGGTAACTCATATCGTGGTATCAAACAATAATATAAACGTAGAATATAAAGGACATTTTACATTGAAATTAAAAGAACAAGTCATTATTTTATACCGAATTGATCCGAGAGATTTGAAAAAAAAAAAAAATACAAATGCCATTTATTCTTCAACACTAACTCGGAAGAATACGCGAAACCTTATCTATAAATACCAGAATTTATTCCAGAAGATCTGAAAAGATCACATACCTATGAGGAAATAAATCGGAACCGCAATCGATCCAAATTTATTATGACTAGACCAAATGATACTTCCGACACATCAATTACTTTCGAACTAGTATTGTAATGGTGCTGAACTGTTCCAATATTAGTGGAAAATACCTACAAGCTTGAGTCTGAAATTAGTTTTTGTTCAAGCACAAGACATTCTGCGTCGGTATCATATTTTGATTATCATAGACACAATAACTCTTAAAATAACTCTAAAACGCTGAATAACTATGCGAGCAAATTCGTTTGTCAGGGCGTATGAGTGACTTTTTTCATTTATCGTACCTCGTTTAAAAAAGGAAAAAATATATAGACAAACAAATACACAATAAAACAGATAAAAATTATAAATGAATTGAAGACCAAATAAATAAAATAATGTAAAATAAAATAAACTTAAACAAAATAAAATAAAAAATTAAGATATTAAACAAAATAAAATGAAATGAAATAGAATAAAATAAAATCAAATAAAATAAAAAAATTACTTTAAATTTAAAATAAAATGACATAATATAAAATAAAATAAGTCAATATAAAATAAAATGAAATAAAACAAAACATAATAAAGTAAAATAAAATAAAAAAAATAAAATAAAATAAAATAAAATAAAATAAAATAAAATAAAATTAAATAAAATAAAATAAAATAAAATAGAACAAAAAATAGAATAAAATAAAATTAAACAAAATAATATAAAGTACATTAAAAAAAATTAATTAAATGAAGAAAAATAAAATAAATTAAAATACTATTAAAATAAAATTATTGCTAATAAAATTTCCATAAGCAGAAATAATAACATAAATCTGATAATTGAAGTAATTGAAGTAATTGAAATAAGTGAAAAGGGTAAACAAATAAAATTAAATTAAATTAATTAATATAAAATAAAACAAAATAAGAAAAAGAGATAACATTAATAAAAATGCAATAAATAAGATAAAATAGTTGAAATTAAACAATGCGCATTTAATTAAATGAACTTCAAAGAATAAAATATACAATATAAATGAATGAAATTTAAGAGAATATGGAAAGCTTGAAAATATGGCATTGGGATAATATTAAAATGGTTTGAACTTTAATTAAAAAATAATTCCAACTTTCTTTAATCCAATGAAATAAATTTCTTTTGTAAGCAAAAAGTGAAGATACCAAATGGTTTTAAATAACTATAATTATTTAAGAAAAAAAGGCATATGAAAAATTAGCACTCTAAAAACAACAATTTTCTTTGAAAAAAAAAAACAAATTTATTTAAAATAAATAATTAAACAAAAAATTAAAAAGGCTTGCCACCTTGAAGATGTTTTGAGTTAATAAGCTACAGAAAATGGAAAAAAAATAAAAGAAAAATGACAACATAAATTGTAAACTTAATGCAGGTATTTTTCCACAAAGTATAAGCTTACATTAAAAAAAAATATATTAAAAAAAAACAATAAAGTTTTTAAATACCGTTTTCACAAATCAACCGAATAAATCGCCGACAAAAGTGGAAAAAAAAAAATAAAAAGCTAGATTTCCAGGAAGTAAACATGTTTAAAATACGAGTAAGTAGACGTGTATATACATTAAACTTCCGAAAACTTCACGCAATGCCTTGTGCTCAATAAAAAATTCAACTCTGTGCTTAACGCTTGCCCTTTTCAGTCACATGTTGCCAAACAGAAAAATAATAATAAAACAAAAAAATAATAATTCAGTCTTTATTAAATCAATGCGCATGCACAGCATGTAAGGAAATATACAAATATACACATGTACGAATATATACATATGTATGTGTATTTTTGTTATTATATTAGTATGTAGAAGGACTGACTTTTAAGTTGACATTGATTTAGGATCGACAGACTCATAGTTTATTCAATGATACTATTTTATACTTGTACTTGTGTATAACAAACACACACACACATACACATTGCATATTAAATGCTCTGCGGCACTGTTTATTCCATTGTTCTTTTACGTCATTCAACTGGATTTTTACCCTGCACCGGCTTAATCTTTAGATATAAATCAATGCGTGGGCAGAAAAAGGGAAAAATTTGAAGAAGTTTTTTTTTTTTGAATTTTCTTAAATTGTAAATGGAAAAATTTTTTCAAACCTACATATATACATTTATTTATCTACATAAAGTATATTTATTTTTAAACTAATTTTAAATTATTTTAAAATTATTTCTATGCATATATATTGACTTGTAATAATTAATAAATTTTTTTTCTCTTTTTTCAGTTAATTGCGCCCATTTTGTAAACACCATGCTCCAACTTTGCACTTTCGGGTTGGAAAATTTGAATTTTTGAAATTCACACAACATGGCTACAAGCTTAAATATTGAAAGAACATATTTCAGCAGTTGATAAAGAACGAAAAAATCTTGGAAAAACAATTACGAAAATTAAATAGAGAAAGTAAATTCGACTGCAGCGGAAAATTATGCACGAAAGCAAATATAATAATCGATGATAGCAAGAAGAAAAAAGATATACTTGTAATTAAAACAAGAAAAAAAAATTAATTAAAAATTAATTAGACATAAACTTGCTAATCTCTCGCTCTCCTTGTAAACATTTATAAATTATTCTAGCCGTTCTACGCTTGTCTTCAATTTTTCCAAATAAAAAAAAAATAAGAAATAAGTAAAAGATTTATAGTCATTAAAGGAAAAATAGCAGCAACTCCAGCAAATTACAAAAATAAAAAAAATTATATATCCAAAAAAAAAATCAATAAATATTTTAGTACTAGCGAATCAATTCAGGGAGCGCCATAAATTTGTTTAGAAAATTAATTAATTGCTACTTCATAACTAAGCAACACCAATTAAGTGGCAGTAGTAACTTCCATACGCTTCCAACGACGACGTAGAAGAAGTAATTAGCAAAAAAATACTTTCAGGAAAAATTGAAAGAAATTAAAAAAATATATATAAAACAAAAAAATAAATATTAAAAATAAAAAAAAATAAAAAAATAAATATTTATATATATAAAGGCGTGCTAAAATTATTTATAATTAGCAGCTGCGCAGTAATTCTGTATTTTAAAGCGACTCTTTTTTTCCAATTTCCAAAGCAATTAAATAATTGAGCAAACAATTAAAGCATTAACGCATTAACTAAGCAAGCAACGGTTAAGAAAGAGAACAAGAAAAAAAATAGAGAAAAAAAGCTAAAATAAAATAGCAAATACAACACGCACATTTGGAAAAAACTGCTTCCTAATTTAGAAAAAAAAAAAATTAAAGCAAAAATATATAAAAAATAAAAATTTTTAATAATATTAAATTTTCAATAAAAAACAAATTATTTATTCCAGCAAAAATATTAGCATACCAACTACGAAGAAAATTTTCAACAACTTTACTTTAATACAAACATACTTCTACTAACCACGTCTACCGTAAAAGCTACAAAACGCGCAAATAAACCACCACCAAAACGCAAGGGAGGAGCAAAAAGAAACAACACAAAACTCAACTAAATCGCCAAAACCACTAATTGCAATTAAAATTCTCGACAATTATTAGAAATCTACAATTAAACAAACAGTGAATTAAAAAAAAAAACATCCACAAATCATTCCATAGTAAACTTTTACTAAATACTATAAAACTCTAGTACTACATAACCTAACTTTCAATTAAACCAAAAAAAAAAAACAAAATAAAATAAAACAAAAAAAGAAACAATTTGATATAAAAATCTTTAAAAATTTAAAATCCAGTCCAACAAATAATTACTTACATACACGTACATACAACTATATAACTAAAATACTTACCCTCCCTAACAATAAACATACCGTACGATTTGAAAACTTGAAAAAGAAGAATTCCAACAAACAGTTTCAAAACAAAAAAAAAAAAAAGCAAAAACAAAAACATAAACGATGGAGAGTTCACAGAGTCCACGTGAAACACTGCTGCTCAATGGGCATGCTGAAGCCGCCGGTCATCTATTGGGTCTCACAAATGGCGGCAGCAATATGCCACAGGTTGGCGGCATGAAAACCGATCATTTTAACGGTGATGATTTATCTTCTAGCAGTTATATGTCCATTCCACAATTCTATGCGGGACGTAGTGTATTCATAACAGGCGGTACTGGATTTATGGGAAAGGTGAGTGTTATGGCATGAAAAAAAAAAATTAATATCAATAATATATAGTAATGATGAATAAGTATGATGAAAGATCTATTGAAAGGTATAAAAGCTTCGCAAGAATCATGAAAGAAATTTATAAAAGCCCAGCATTTCTATATGAAAGCATAACACAAGATAAGTAAAAAAGCTCTGCATTAAAATATGAAAGCTTTGCACATATTTACATAGTGAAATCCTTAGCAATAAATATGAGTGCTTGGGAAAATTAATGAAAGCTAAAACATGAAAAGCAAGCATTTAAATAAGAAAGCTATGCACAACATAAGCGTGAAACCCCTGCATTTAACAATGAACGCTTTGCATATTTGCGCTGGAAAAATTATGAAAGCTACAGAACGAAATCGCTTGCATATAGATCTGCAACTAAGTCTTTAGAAAGCTTACCACAAAGAGTTTAAGTTAGTCAATACATATATGTATAAACTCTCAAAAGTATGAAAGCGCAATCGAAATGGTTTTTTCATGAATTTTAGTAAAAGCAAGCTCACCCAAACTGTAATACAACTTTTGGAAAACTTAAAGAAGAGTTAAAAAATTTGGATTTTTTAGTAAGCTTTCACAATGTGAAAGCTCATCTTAAATTTGGTTTACTCTTTCTTTTTTTTGAAAGCTCAATAGAAATTTGGTTTGAATACGTAGTTACAAAAAGTATGAAAGCTTTCCTAAAAATGTAATTTACTTACATTGTAAGAGTTTTGTTACTGCCAAAAGGTTTAGAAAAGCGATAAAATTAAAATTTGCCTTTTTATTTATTAATTTTTTATTTTTTTTATTAAATGTGAAAGCTCCATTAAATTGCGTTATAACTCCAAAACTTGCACTCATATTATATCTTGCAAAAATACTTCAAGTGAATAAATTTAAATTTATAATATATACAAGTTTTATAACAGTGAAAAAGCTCCCTAAAAGTGCAAAAGCTCTGTGAAAAAAACAAAAGCTCTAACAAACACTATAAATTATGAAAGAAATATTTTATATATATTTTATTTTTATTAAAAAATTTGTTAATCTTTTGATGCTGAAGAAATGTCTAGAAATGTGCAGCTCTAAGCTTGAGCTTAAATTTAACCTAAGCTTATTACATTTAATTGCGAATTCTGATTTTTTCAACCTCTTCTAATTAAACTACTTAAAAATCCAGAAACCTTGCATGTCTTTTAATGCTCGGTAATTACGAAAATCTTAATATAAATAACGGTGTTTTTTTTTCGTAAATTTATATATATGTATGTATGTAGGCATGCTTGTATGTCTAATGTGCACGCCTGCACTTTTGGAATTGTTCAGCATGTATGTATGTGTGTATGTATGTAGATATATGTTGTAACATTTGTTTTCATTCCTCTATTCATTCATTCATTCATTCGTTTATTCATTCATCCGCCCCATTGTTATCCGTTTGTTTACATTAATTTGAGGATTTGAAATGTTTGTATGTATAAATGTATGAGGTTCAAACCAAATATGAAAAAATCTACAATTCTTAGTGATAGAAAAATCGGGGAAAAAAATACGAAAAAAAAATTTTAGTAATGGAAAAATGCTTACAAATATCAAAAAAGAAAAAAAAAAATTTTAAAAGCATGATAAATGACACGCTCAGACATTTGTTGCGCATTTTTTCGCTAAATTTTTTTTATTTACTTTTATTTTTTTTATTTTTTGTTGTATATTTTCATTTTTCTTCCTTTTGTCATGTGCCACGAGTTTGCTGTTGTATGTATGTACATACGTAATTTATTGTAATATTTTTTTCTATTATATGTGTGTATGCGTGTGCATTTAATTTTCTATTCTACTTTTAATTTAATGCACAATAGCCGTTGACGCTATGATAGTTTTGGATAATATCCTCAAATTCAAAAAAAAAAAAAAAATAAAAAAAAAATTAAGAAAAAAAATACAATAAAATAAATTAAATAAAAATCCATATATGTATGTAAAAATGTACATATGTAGAATAGAAATGCATATACGAGTATATTATGCCGCATTAGAGGCTAGAAAATGTGCGTGTCCCATACATAAATTAGGACGGCTTCAATTCAGTATGGACGCTGCAAGGGCGAATTAATGCAAAAAATATGTCATAACATCACATAAAATGAAGATGAGAGTGTCTAAAATTCCAAAAAAAAAAAAAATTAAATTTTTTCCCCAAACATAATGGCTGCCGAGGAGGTGTTTTCTAAAAGTTTTGAAGCACCCTAAAAATGGAGCTTCTACACTTGTAGTGAAAGCTCGCGAGGTTAAAAATCTCAATCATCGTTCTGCAGATTAGTTTGGCGGCCACAGTACTCGAGTGCATAACATACTCACATCTAAGAAAAGATATTCTAATCCCCGACTGGGTAAAACAAGCTTTCTGAGAATATTTCTGACATAAAATAAAAAGCTCGTCATAAAAATCCGCTCGGAGAACGCTTAGAATAAACTGTACCATTTAATGGAAGGCCTTTAAGCTGCAATCTACCTAGCGAAGGATGAAAATCTTCTTAGAGGGTCTTTAAAACAGATCAAAATAACAACTAAAAAGGTCGAAATTACATCTCTTAACTTTCTGCAGTAAAAACTTCCATTCAACCGAATTGCTGAATCCAAAAAAAAGAAATACTACAAAAACACATGAGAAATGTCCTTCGTCACATAAAATAAAAATCCTCCTTAATGGTTGGTGAACTAGAATTTGCTCTCCATACTTCGTAAATGTAAGACTACAAGAGTGTGCATAGAAGATCCCATCTTCTCTGGGAGACAGCTTCGCGATAGTAGGGTTACGTTATCACAGTCTTTATTGGTTCATTTCCAAACGGATAATGCGCAAGGGGAACTCCTACCGTATGCTTGAAGAGAATTTCTTTGCCCGACAAAGATCCATGTTGGACTAGAGGAAACGCGCAAGCGCGCATGATGTGGAGATGACAGCCCAATGCTCTCTATACTTGAAAGCTCACCTGTTCAGTAGCATGTTGTCAGAGGAGCTCTTAATTGCGCCAGACAATTTTGAAGCCCAGTGTCGTAATAGTCTCGCAATGCTTGCTTAATAGCAACAGCCTCCATCTAAACCAGTTATTGGGTCTGAGATTCTGAATACCGCCAATCGATAATTCGTGAGAAAAAACTCCCATGTCAACCTTTCCGTCACGCTTCGAGCCAGCCAAGAGGAAGTCAAGTGCTTCTTTCTTTTCTTTGAAAGCTAGTCCCACTCCAGCCCATCATCAGCCTTTGTCTTTAAGCTTTCCGAATATTCCAGACACGCTCAGAAACGTTTAGAGCCTCATCACACGTGCGCCAATCAATGACCGCCACTTTGCGGATTCCACATTCCGGATATGGTAATACGGATATGACTGCGGATGCATTGTGCTCACAAGAAGGATATCTTTATTTACTTAAAACATAACCAATTAAGTGCAAGTACTTGTAAGAGCGTGTAATGGAATACTCAGAGAGTGGGCAAGTAGCGACGAGACTTTCTAAGTGCTTTACAAAAATTCATAAAAGAAAATATTGTATTTGCACTATTTGGTATATGAGTAGATATATATGCATGTACACATATATATTTATGTCTGTACATAAGTAGGTTTGTATTTAAGTAGTGTGTCTATGCCCATAGCAGGTTAGTGCGACCATAAAACTAATGAGCCCTAAAAAAAAAAAAACAATCAAGAAGAAGAAGAAGCACAAACATTTAGAACAACATGTGGGTTAGCAAAACTAGACATATCGAGTAGAGTAATAAATGTAAAAAAACTAAGGATAACTATATGGTTTTTTTTTATATTCTTAATTTATATTAGTTCCTCAGACCAGCTCTGCCACATGAAGGCGACAACGATGGTGCAAGTTTGCGTGCCTAATCGGCTATTCGTTCATTTAGGACTAGACATATGTACTCAGTTAAGGACATACATCTATGTATATATATGTATATATATATATATATATATATATATATTTCAAATTGTATATTTACATATAACTCAGCACCAATCACGCGGACGTGTGTGAGTATTCAGTAGTGTGGATTAAATGGAGAGAGAAAGAGAAGGAGAAAGAGAGTGTGAGTCAATGAGTCAATGAGTCAATGAGTAGCGAGTGCCAATAATGGGCGGTCGATGAGCAATGCCTGAATAGTGAAAATCGTTGAAAGTTTGGCAGATATGTAAATATTTATATAAAGAAACTTGGCAACTTGGTTGACTTTTTTTTTAAAGAGAAGGTTGAGGAAATTGCTATTGAGTAGGCTCGTTGTACTCCCCTCATAATTTACACGATTTGAAGCTATTTTTATTATTTTCTTCTATCCATGCTCGTCCAATTTGGTTAGACGCTTCTGGCATCGTGGAAGATATTAAGTCTCAATCGGCCTGACGGCTGGACACTGGAGATGGTAGTGCAATAGGGAATGTCAAGCCCCCCGAACGTATCCTTCTTACGTGAAATAAAAACAACCGCATAAAAACCCAACAGCCGTACGGGAAAACCGTAAACCGCAAATCTTTACAGTAGTTACAAAGCGTCATCAATACATCCACAAGCATCTAAGTTCAGTTACTTAAGCTAAGTTAAATTTTATTTTGTTTAATGTTAGCAATTGTTTGGCCGGTCTGTAACCGGCGCTGCCTCACAATACTTTATTGGTACGCTCTATGTTGGAAAAGCTTCAATACTTTAAATGACCACATTTTAAGTTAGTAAAAGATCTGAGGTAGTCGAGTTCAAATCCTGACGTCGTATTAACCTCCAAAAAACAATAGAAAATTAATTTAAATAAAAAATTAAGCCAAATATTCTAATTGCGGTCGCCGCTCGGCAGGGAATGTCAACCCCTTCGAGTGGGTTTCTGACATAAAATCCAAGACTCCTCATAAAAACCATCAGCCGTTCGGAGGCCACTTAGTGTAAGCTATTGGAAAGTTTTTGTAACCCTGATCCGACATTAACGCGACTCTCCGCTTTTAACATATGCGTAATTTACGTTCATGCTCAGTCGCACACATCCTGACTCTCTGCCATAGGAGCTTTATTGAAAGTTTAAGTAAAATTGAAAACTCTTTGTATATATTTTGTATGAAGGTCACTTCAGCACCTCAACAATGGCTCTTCGCTTCACACAAAAGTGATTAGGGTTTTGTTACAGTCGTTTAAAATCGATTAAGGCTTATCGAATAACTCAGCTCATTGCATGAACTCCCAGATTTTGAGTCAATAATCATATGTGAAGTGAGTAAAACTGAAAACCAAAAAAGGTTACAATAGCACAATTGGGTAAGAGTAAGAGCGAGAGAGTGTGAGTATATGGAAGAGTGCATGCAAGTAATTAATTAGTATTATACGCATATACATACAATTACTATAGTATATTTTTAGGCGTTAACTCATTGTAGCGTGCTCATGTGTGGAATATTTGTCTGCATACAGATGTGTGTACAGACAAATTATTATTGTTATTATTATTTTTATTTTATTCATGCATGCATTTATTGTAGTTGGTTTTGTTTTTGCTGAACAGTGTTTCTGCTATATTAAGCATATGATAATTGCTTTTAATTGCACGGGTCTCTACTGGTCTCGTTTATTGCGCTAATTTTTTTTCTTTTTTTTGTATTTTCATAACAACTTTCTTTTCGTCTCCTGACATTTTAATGATTGTCCCCCTACTAGCCGGTCAATATATATGTATTTTGTCTAAATACCTGTTCGTCTTTGCTTCATTTTCTGTTTTTTTGTTTTTTTCTTTTTGTGGTGGCGTCTATGGTTTTCTAAACGACACATGAGCGTCTGCTGTGCATACTTTTCGACATATGTACATATGTACATACTCGTATATACAAATTGCTCCGGATGATCTCAGCAACTGTTTGTTGGCTAGTAATTTTAGGAATTTTTTGTTATTTATTTTGAGGTTAGGCTCGGCCGGGTGAATTAAAATGTAAAATATTCAAAATTAAAGTCTCGTAAATGAAATATGAACAAAATGTTTATACCGCTACTTGATTTTGAATTTTAAGTAAAGTTTCCCAGCATATAGGCATTTATCTTGAGTACTTTTTAGTATGCTATTCACAATAGCAAATATTTGTTTACAGTGCAACACTCCGAACAGCAGTGGTTATTATTTTAAGGGGGATTTAATACAAATCGCTCAAATGTTATTTTGGTTATCGGTTGGTTATCGGTTTGGTTATCGTTTTCCATATAATTCATTAGCCATTCCAATGTTCTTTTGTGAATATTAAGGAAAAGATTATAGCTGTAGATTATAAGCTGCTATCACAATTAATTTTCTTGAACAGGTTAAGTGGCAGGTCTGCCAGTGAACAAACATAGCTACTTTAAAAATTTTACAAACAGCTTTCGACAAAAAATTGATATTTCTGTTGAACAATTGATCTTATTTAAGTCGTGTTGTTAGATGTTATTATTCTTATGTAATAAAGTTGTTACTCTACTCTACTTTTATTGCCCTGCCGCCATCGACAGCAAATGGCAACGGTTATTGCTATGCTCATCATATGATTAATGAGCAATGTCAATGCCTACTATAATTACAAACAAATAAACGAATTATTTTTAGCCTACTTTATGGCGTAAAAGCATTAAAAAAATATACAATCCAACTAGTGGTCGAGGCGTTGGGGGTTGTAAATGGAAGAGAATAATTGTTTGGCGGTTATTATTACATACATACATACATTTTCCACAATTTTATTGAACAGATTCGTAATTAATTAATAAAAATGATAAAAAGCAAAAAATTACTTTAACTAAATGGGTAATTTATCATTTTCAATTATTGAAAATGTATTTACAAAAAATAATATATGGAACATAAATGGGGTTTAAAATGAAAAATCTTAAAATGATTTTCATGTTATATTGATTAAAAATAATAATGTAGGTTGGCGCTCTGCAAGCTTTATTAATTAATAACCTAAAAATACTATTAATATTTGTTTAAATTTAATTCTTTATATAAGAAATTTTAATTTTAATTTCATACTTTTACAGGTTCTTGTTGAAAAATTATTACGTTCATGTCCAGACATAAAGAATATTTATCTATTGATACGACCAAAGCGTGGACAAGAAGTATCTGCGCGTCTAAATGAGCTGCTTAATGCACCGGTAAGTGTAAATTAACATATAATTCTATATAAAAACAAAACTAAGATAAAAAATTGTATAATATAAAGTAAAGTAAAAAAAATATAATTAAATAGAATCTAAATATAATAAAAATAAAACTAAATTAAATAAAGTAAAATAAAATGTAGTTGCACACATAAATTAGTTCAATATAGATACGTGTATACTCGTAAAATAAAATTGCAAAAATAAGACAAAATAATATTCAAAAAATTATGTAAAACATAAGAAAAGTAAGAAATGAAATAAAATAATTTTGCACATACATACACACATATATGTATGTATATCAAGGCTGCACGTAACGATAAATTTCACGTTGCCTGAAAAATGTTTACCGTTTCGGTTGAAAAATTAGTAAATTTAACGATGTTGTTGTCGTAACCGCAAAAATATTCACCAAAGTACTTTTTGAGGAATGTTGCGGTAGTGACAGTCCTTGACCGGATGAAAATCCGTGTCGTTCCGGTATAAAGACCCGAATTGTCGCGGGAACTATTGGCTTTTAGTCGCCACTTACGACAGACATGCCTTACCGCGAGTAAATTCTTGAACTCCTAACCCCTTAACGTTAATGATGAGTTTCTGCGGTTACAACATTAACGATTTTATTTCGATTTGTTAACATGGCACCCAAACGATTTCATTCAGGTGAGTTAATTTCTCTTGTTAACGAAACGGAATGATATCGTTACGTTTCTTGAGCATCTCTGGTATGTGCATTTATATAAGTATTTACATATGTGTATAAAATAAACTGATATAAAATAGGAAAGAAGAAATTCCAACAAAATAAGCTTTTACTTTAACCCTCTAATATTATTCGAAATAACTACTCATAAATTTCCTATTTCATTCATTTTCTATTATACAGCTTTTCGAAACATTGCGAAGAGAGAAACCAAAGGAATTGAGCAAAGTTATTCCTATTTCTGGTGATATAACATCTGAGGAATTGGGCATCTGTGAAAATGATCAGGTAATATATTCCACTTACTGAGTTACAAATAAAACACTTTCTTCACTGTATTAGCATACAATTAGAGATTAACAAAAAAAAATTGATAAATAAAAATTTGTCTGGAAACTGTTTGTTAGTTCAGCATAATAACATACCTGATATTCACACGCACTCATTTACAGGCGCTACTCTGTCGCACAGTATCAATTGTATTCCATTCAGCTGCCACCGTTAAATTCGACGAAAAGCTCAAATTATCTGTCACAATCAATATGCTTGGGACGAAGCGTTTGGTTGAATTGTGCCATCGCATGATGTCCTTAGATGTGAGTAAAAGAGTAATAAATATTATATTAAATATAAATTCCATGCTTACCTGATTGTAAAATCTGTTCATATTGTGTTCCAAGCAAATTTTTAATTATTTACTTATTCTCTCAGGCACTTATACACGTCTCCACTGCCTATTGCAATTGCGATAGAACCGAGGTATCAGAAGTTATATATGCACCACCCTACAATCCCGATGATATTATTTCAATGATCAATTGGCTTCCTGAGGACATGCTCGATCAGGTAAATATCTGTTACAATGAATGACTAAACATGATTTGAAGTAATTTATTTACATTTGTCTCCATATTCAAACTCACCTTTAGCTAACACCAACGCTTATTGGCAAACGCCCTAATACGTATACATTTACGAAAGCCTTAGCGGAGCATATGCTACTCAAAGAAGCTGGTAATCTGCCGGTTGCCATTGTGCGGCCATCTATAGGTGTGTATTAAATATAAGCATGCCACAAAAATATTAAAACAGAGGTACTGAAAATTGTCTCTTTTCTTTTTTGCCTTTAGTGATTGCCAGCTTAAATGAACCTTTCGCCGGTTGGGTTGATAATTTTAATGGTCCAACTGGTTTGGTTGCCGCTGTCGGTAAAGGTCTATTCCGTACAATAATGTGTGAAAAGAATTATGTTGCCGATATGGTACCTGTCGATATTGTGATTAATTTAATGATTGCCGCAGCATGGCGCACAGCGACGAGAAAAACAGATAATTTGGCGATATATAATTGTTGTACCGGTCAACGACATCCCATACAATGGGGTGAATTTGTTAAATATGCAATGAAACATGTACGAAAGCATCCATTGGGTGAGTACACAAACGGCAAGACAAGCAACTCTGCCTTTTTTTTAATATATGTATGTATATGTGAACATAAATAAATTTTTATAAAAACACATACTGATGGGAAATTCCAAATGCTTTTTGGAACTAAGCTTTAATAGCATTTTTTTCATTCAATATTTTTATAATGTATGTATGTATATTTAATTCTCTGCAGAGGGCTGTCTGTGGTATCCAACGGGTGTGCTACGCATGAATCGTCCATTAAATGCAGCGCATGGCTTCCTTGTACACTATTTACCGGCCTATATATTGGATATTGTAGCGCGATTAATGGGCAAGAAGCCATTGTGAGTATGCAACAATATACTTACATATACATATGTATGTATGTAAATTAAGTAAATGGTGAAAATTGAGAACAATTACTTACCACATTTCGACAGTTTAGTTACACACTCACGCACTGATATCGTCTTTGTTAATTGTCTACTTTCTATTTCTTTCATCTCCGAAAATACTTGGTTAGTATGGCAAATATACAAAATAAAATTGCCAAAGCTGTCGGTTGCTTGGAATATTTCGCTACACACCAATGGCGATTCAAGGATGACAATGTGCACGCACTACTCAATACGCTAAGTCAAAAGGATCGGGAAACGTTTGTGTTCGATGTACGCACCATTGACTGGGAGAACTACGTAGAACGATATGTATTGGGCTACAGGGAATTCTTATTTAAGCAACGTCCAGAATCGCTTCCTGCGTGTCGAAAACGTATGATGCGGTGAGTAAAATACACGTACATATTTGAAATATAAACTTTTCTTTGCTGCTTCTTAACACAAGCAAATCATATCTCATTCACAATAGATTATACTATTTGCATCAGTTGACCAAGGTGGTGGCGGTTATATGCACTTGGCGCTTCCTAATGGCGCATTCGAAACGTTTGAATGCTTTGTGGACAGCATTTTTGCAGAATGTTTTCAAACTAATACGATTAATACCATTTTTGTAATATACGAATTGGACGAAGGAGTGCAGCTAGTGCAGTGCAGTAGGGAAAGCAATAGCAGTAAAGGGCGCGTTACGCGACACACTGTTGGGCTTGTAGAGAGTTGGCATAATTGATTGAATTAATTGTATTTAATATTTAATTCATACAAAATACGCATATACATATATACATATATATATATATTAATATAAATATATATTTTTTGTTATTGTTTTTCTATATTTTAATGGCAGTTAAGTTTAAATTAACTTAATTATATTATATTTTCATTTATTATTTTTGTATTGTAATAAAATTGTAACGAACGAAGCGAAGACAAGGAGGGAGGAAAAAATTATAATAAAATAAATAAAATTATGTCGAAGGGTTTATAGTAGCAATGAGTATAAAAAAACAAAACAAAACAAAACAAAACCAATATTAAGTAAATAAATAAAAAATTATAATAAAAACAATTATGTAGACATATTAGTGTGAGAGATTAAATAAAAGAATATGAAACTAAAATTAATAACAAACGATTGCAATTATGCTAAAGCATGTATATTTAGTGTATAACGAAAATTGTTTAAAAAGTGGTACCAAATAAAGTAAAAATATTAAATAAATATATATAAAACTAATTAAATAAAAAAATGAAAAACAAAATTTTTGAAATACAAAACAAACAAAAACAAAAACAATTTTTGTATGAACCTTCCGCCAAGCATTATAGCACATTTATATGTTTATATGTATGTATTTTGCCTTTTACCTTTCATTTCATTCCCAGTTGATTCAGCTGTAAACGATTTTACTAAATTCATACTATTAGAAAAAAAAAAACATTAACAGAAAATGTATTTATAGTAATAAATGTAAATTATTTTGCAATTTTACGAGTGCAAAAAAAAGTGGAAAAGATAACGTGAAATAGGTGTTTGTGTATTTTATTTTTTATTTTTTTTTTTTAGTTTTAAAGCATTATTATTTTACCTTTTTCCTTTGTTCGCCATGCAAAGCAACAAAAGCAATTTTATTGGTATATATAATTAGGCAAAGAAACAAACTAACTATTATACAACTAAATATATATATATATATACATATATATACATAAAAAATCTTACGCATACATTAGCATATATGAAATATTTGCAATAAAGACACTAGCAAGTGTAATGGTTTAGTTTAAACGAATGCAAGAAAAACCAACAAACAATTAATTACATAGTTTACATAAATAAAAGCAAACAAGAAAAAAAACAAACGTAAATTACAACAGAAATATTAATTTAAATAAAAAGTGCATGGAAAATAATATGAAATAAATGAAAAAATAAAGCATTATAAGTCTAATAGTAGTAGTAGTTTTACAATTAAATTATATTGAGCATTTGGTTAGCGAATAATTAAAAAAAATATATATAAATATAATATAAAAGGGAAGCTAAACAAAATTTAAAGTTAAAAACATGCAAACTCAAATTTAAAAGCAAGCAAAAGAGGAAATTCAAAATGCATATACATATATTAAGCATGATTAAAAAAGGGGAAAAATTATAGCAGCATGAATTGAAATAAAATAAATAAAAATTAATAAAAAAAAAATATAATTTAAATAAATAAAAAACTTTTATGAAAGCATACATTAAGCAAATGTGTCAGCAAACAAAACAAACAGTCAGTGGCAGTTTACATGTGTAAGTAGACAGGTATGCATAATTAAATAAAAAAAAAACAAAAAAAAAAAAGCAAACAAACACAGATTAAAGCAAAATATAAAAAACGACATAAAATAATTGCTTGTTATAAATTACTTTACATTTAAAAATTAAAAACAAAAACCAATTAAGTAAATATATAATAATAAATGATACAAAAATGTAATAGCGAACTAAATTTATGCATTAAAATTATGAAAATAAAATTGAAAGGTATGAAATAAAATAAAAAGTGCAAAAAAAACAAAAAATACGTATTTTTATTTATTCTTCAGTAAATTAAATGTAAGCAAAAAATATTTTAGATTTTTGGTAAGCAGTTGCAGTAAATTTAAAAATTTGTAAATAAAAAAATTAGTCATCCCGAATTATCACGGATCATTAAGTGATTGGCTAAAGTTTTGCCGCGTACGTCAACTGTTGTCTATTGTGAATGAAAATCGATTGCATGACTAACGTATTTTGTGCACAAAGAACTTTCCGGAAGCGGCGAAATTGAATATTATTAGCTTTTGCGTTTTAAAAAGTGTTTAGTAACGCAAATATGCATAAAATGGTGTTATAACGGTTTACTGCTGTGCATTTAAGAAACAAATAATCTGTAGTTTTTGGTTTGTTGTCTTGTCGGCAGACAGCAGCAAATAATCAGTTAGTATCCAGGGGCAGTGAACCTTCTACAGGAAATGCTGCAAGTCTCGTAAGTAAACCATGTTTTTTTCTCTCAAGTTTGACTTCGTTATCTTTTTGAATGGGCAGTAGAGAAAATATTTTTCAAATTTCTAAAAGTTGGTGTTTTTAATTTTGCATTTATTTGAAATCAGAAAAAAAGTACAATATCGATAAATACAAGTCAATTATAATATTTAGATGCGCATATGTGTATACATACATATATATTGTAAAAGAGAGTAACACTTATTGACTAGTAAAATACCATAGATAATTGTATTTAATACATATATAATACGCATGCAGAAAATTTGTTTAATATCTAAATTGCATTTGATGCCTACATAACAAATACGTATGTATGTATGTATGAGCATGCACATTTTTTTTACATTTTTATTTAATTTAAAATATCAAAATTTTGCATAGCGGCTAATTAAAACGTTTTTCATTTGTCATTATTGTTTTAATTATATTACTATTTTTTATTTGCTTTTAGAGTATTATTAATTAGTTTTATTGCATATATGGCTTTTGCATATATTTAGATTTGAAATTTGCAATGAAAGTATCAACTTTTAAAGAGTATACGAAAATGTATCGATTTTTACGGATACGCTATGGTTTAACTTTAAAATGTTGCTAAATATAGATTTGTTTATTATTATTATAAATCTACTATATATTGTTTAGCACTTGAAATAGCTGGATCACAATCGAATTTTTAATTAATACGTATTAAATTTAATATCTGAGCATAATTTATGAATTTGTTCGCTTTTGAATGCTGAATAGTTATATACATATGAATTAAATATATGAATATCGTTTAATTGAATATAAAGCTACAAATAAGTTTTCTGGCACGTACGATTACATAAAGTACGTGTTTTTGTTTTTGAATTACATTTTTTTTTTATGAAATCACTTTTTAATAAAATATTATACATTTAAGCATTTGATTCAATTGGTGTTATGCACACTTTTACATTCAATTAGTTGAACTTGAAAATAATATCCAACAAAACTCAAAACCAATTTTCTGTGTGTGTAAATTCATTTCGTCTTTAAATTTTGATCCAGTGTTGACATAATATTTTATGGATGTGTATATTTATACATATTTCGCTGTTTATATGTGCGTTGTGCGTTTTTGAAATTTAATTTCTGTTTATTATTTATTAGCTTTGTATGACTTAATGTGTTAATTAAAATGTCTTTTAAATGCATTTACCATGAATATCGTATTACATATACATAGGTTTATATGTATGTATTGATTTATATATTATGCATGCTAATCGCTCATGCAGGTCGACGCTTTATTTCTTTGGTCAAAAATCTTGCAAGTCCACAAATTTGTCAGCACTTCACTAGGAACTCTCTTCCTTGAAGGAGAAACGTAGCAAACGTCCCACTTCGAGTTTTGGTAAATCCTAAAAGTATGCAATATATTAGACAAATTCACAAATGCATAATTACTCACTCACTTCCACAATAATTTCATGCACATTAGTGCCTGCAACACGAAATTCCACCGGTTCCATACAATCACGCCTACTCTGTTTCACGACATCACATGCATCGTATACAAAATCATCCGTTATACCCTCACACTGATCGATATTAACAAGTTTGAGTCGTGGGCAACGGCGCAATAACACTAAAAGTCCGATATTTGTTACCGCACGACAATTTCTTATGTCAAGCTCTTCCAGGTTTGACAGACGTTCAGCAAATTCAAAGAGACACTCATCGGTTAGATTGTCATTATTTGGGCAGATTAACGTACGTAGTTGATGCAGCCTTGACAGATAAATGGCACGTTCGTGTGTGATACAGTTTCTTGCCGATAACTCGAGTTTCTCAAGTTGCTGTGTTTTATGCGCGGAAAGTGCTATGAAAAAAGTTTCACGCACAGCGCCAAATGAGTGTACCAAAAGTTGGCGTAGCGAGTGTAATTGTGCTACACAATCGTAGTTAACTTCCTTTTCGCATGATATTTTCAACTGTTCCAATTGACGGCAGTGACGTATCATTTCGGTGTAAGCGCGTGATGTGAGCATTTTACAATGACGTATATCCAAGCAACGTAAATTGAATAAACACTTGCAGATATCGATGAAATGGCTCGATTGTAGATTTTCACAACCAAAAAGGCTAAGTTCGTGCAGCTGATATAATTTACTTAGATTTTTCCCTGTATATGTATGTACATACATAAATATAGTTATAAATAAATAAATAATTGTACATGCGTGCAGAAAGCTCTCACCTGTCAACTCAAAACTCTGATCCAGTATGAGCGCACGTAAATTGGGCAGTTTTCTTAAGGCAAGCACCGAGCTATCGTTTAGCGAAAAATTGTGCAACTCCACATAAGTGACTGCATGAAAACGTTCGAGTAGACGTAATAAACTCGCCGATTCTACATTATTGCAATTCAGATCGACGCGTCGCACACGCGGACTAAGCTCACTTATGAAATCTATGCGATCTTGATAATTATAAGGCACTGCACCAATCAATTCTTCAATATTAGCGCCAGCCATTTGAAAAAGTTCACGTATATCCCACAAAGTCATGCCGATTAATTGATTCATATTGAAAACTTTTGAAGTATTTTTACAGGTATACTTGAAAATATCACGAAAACGACGACAAACGCGTGAAAAACGTATTTGATCGCGTAATGGCAGATAACAGCATATTGCTTCCAAACATTCATCATTCAACTGCAATATATTTGTACGCATCGGTGTGTAGAAATCTATTAAATCGCCATTTAGATTGAGTGCAGCTATGCGTGTATTGAAATCAACACCACCATTATACGCTTCAGGTTGTTCCCAACTCTCGCAAGCGTTGACAAAGAAACGCTTCTTCTGCAATTCATGGCTGGAACGCTGCAGGGCTCTATAGGTGTAAAAATATATATTAATTTAATGAATTATTAAATATATGTGGGGGCATATTTTTATACTTACCTTGCAGCTGCTAATGGATGTGCAAAATGCACAATGCCTATTGGCGGTTCCGTAGTACCGGTGGCATATTTATCACGCTTAAGAAATACTTTGAGCACATCACCGAATTGTGAAAAGTATTTGTTAAGTTCCACTTCGGTGACCTGTAAAAATTAGCATAATTAATTAACAAATTACTGTGTGCTGGGTGCCGCTCACTTTGCCATGCAGTTGATAAGCTGTGACATTATAGACGAGTAGGTCATCTTCTGTGTATGCTTTATCATCAAGAAAGTAATAATTCGATTTAACTTTAAAATAAACAAAGCACAAATATACATATATATTATCGTTATAAGCAATTGCAGTAAAGCTGATTGTGGATTAATTATTACTAAAACACAGCCATAGATTTATAAAACTTACGCTTAGTAAAATCCATCTGCTACCCTTAAATCAATTTCAAAACTAATTTAGCAATCCTTATTGGTTATGAATTTTTAAACAACTTCAACACATTACTCACTTAATTGGCCACAACAAAATTAACTCATCCGCATCAAATAAATATTTTCTAATATTACATCGAACTCTTCTTCTTTTTACATTTCAATTCACAATGATGTTGCACCAGCGTTGAGTCGAAAGAACGTAGGGTAGTTGGTTGTTTTCGGATATTTGCATGGTGAAATCATTGTTGTTGGCGGTTTTTTGAAACAAAACTATTTTCAAACTCTCCAATGCTAAACCAACTTTTGTTTAAACTAATATTCTCGTAATACTGTTGCGGTGAAAATACGTTTGTAGAATCATTTAACAATATTACTGTCTATTGAAATCACTTTAAACAGAACTGTCAAAATGGTTTTAATGAAATGTGGAAAATATTGGTAATCACATAATAACAAAAGTCGTAAATATGCGTAGAGAGCGCTACGTAACGGTTAAGGAAACGATGGACGATGTAAGATGATTTCAAGGTGGACAATATCTCCTAAGTAAAGATCTAATAGGATGTTTCTCACCACCTTGACTAACTCACCATACGTTCTTTTCCAACTGCTTAATTTCATTTGGCGATAAAGCTGAATTTGAATCATTTTTAAGAAAAGACATTACCAAAATACTTGTTTTTATCAACGTGGAATAAATAAAAACAACATTTTTTGACATTATGATTACTTTCAATTTATTCATATTTTCCATTTTCACATTTAGATGTATTTTTCTTGATACAATTTGTTTTTTATTTGTTCTTACATATTGTATTCATTGTTTCTGTTGTTTTTTTTTATTTTACACATCCTCGTTTTTTCATGTATGTATGTATGTTCACATGGTATGCGCTTAAAATTTATTTTTTTTAATTTATGTATTTCTTTTATTATATTTTTCTTTATTGTTTAAACTAAAATTTTGTAAATTCATTTTTTGTTTTCTTAATATGAATAAATTCCTGTAAATACAATACAGTTCTGGCTGCATTATTCATTTCTTATAATTCATTTTTTTTCATTAATTTTCTCTCATAATTTCTCATTTAAGCAATATTTTGCAATATGTGCACATTTTTACAATCATTATTATTTGTTTAATTTTCATTTGTTATTGTTTTTTTTTTAATTATTTTGTTTTTGAGCAATTTTGGGTGTGTGTGTGTTTGAGCATGTTTTTCTGGATATTATATATGTATGTACGTCTGCTTTTATTGTTCCTTTGCTTAATGTATATTAACGGTTTTCAGTTATTTATTTAATATTTTATAAATATATATAAATGTCTGTGTGTAAATGTATTTATGAATGCTTGTATGTAATATATACAGTGGATCTATTTAATAGCAATTATGAGTTTATGTGCTAATATTGTAGTTGATTTATTTTCTAATTTAAAAAATAGTATGGCAAACATTCCAAAAACTGCCACAATTTTAAAAAGCGTCTTTTTGTTACTTTTCTGCATGGATGTTATTAATTTTATAATTTATTTTATTTTATTGTATATTTTGTTGATTAAATTTTGCAGATTTTTAATTTATTTTCTTTTCTTTTAATTTTTCACACTTTTTTTTATAATTTAATTAATTTCATATGAATTATTTTGCTTAATTTTTGTTAATTGATTAAATATTTTTCATTTTATTTTATTTTTTAAAATAATTTATTTTTTTTGTGTTTTATTTCATTTCATTTAATTTAATTTTACTTAATTTTAAATTTATTTTAATTTGTTTTCCAAAATGTTATTTCTTTTAATTTATTAATTTTTATTATTTGTTTTATTTTAATCTTTTTAAATTCTCCTTAACTCATGTAATTATATTTTATGATATCTTATTTAATTTAAATATTTAATTATTTTTTTAATATATATTTTACCTGTTTTAATTAATTTTTTTTTTAATTTAATTTTTATTGTTTTATGTTTCATTTCATTTTATTTTATTTTTTACTGCTTTCTTTCCTTTTATTCCATTTCTCTTTATTATGTTTTGATTTATTTCGAATTCGTTTACTTTATTTCATAGCAATTTATTTATTTTAAGTAAAGGTTTTAATTTTTTTCATTTCATTTGTTCTTATTTTGTTATAGTTTACTTTATTTTACATTAATTACTTTAATTTAATATAAATTAATTTTATTTTAATTTTGTTATAAATTAATTTAGTTAGCTTCAATTTAATTTTAAGTAATTTTATTTTATTTCTTTTTTTATTTAATTTAATTTATTTTGTTTTGTTTTATTTCATTTCATTTAACTAACTTTTATTTTTATTTTTTTTTTATTAATATTTAATTTAATTACTTTTTATTTGATTTGATTTTATTTTACCTTATTGTATATTTTCGTTTTATTTAATTTAATTTAATTTTATGTTAATTTATTTTCTTTTATTTCAGTTTATTTTATTTCGTTTTGTGTTATTTTATTTATCTCGTCTTATCCTATTTCAATATATGTTTTTCACTTTATGTTAATTTATTTTATTTCATCTTTTTTTTTGATTTATTTTATTTTATTATAGTTTATTTTATTTTATTTTATTTTATTTAATTTATTTTAATTTAATTTAATTTAATTTAATTTAATTTAATTTTATTTTTATTTTATTTTATTTTATTTTATTTTATTTTATTTTATTTTATTTTATTTTATTTTATTTTATTTTATTTTATTTTATTTTATTTTATTTTATTTTATTTTATTTTATTTCATTTAATTCTATTTCACTTTATGTTGTTTAATTTTACTTGTTTTCGTTTAATTCGTTTTACTTTTTTAAATTTTTCATGTGTTTCGATTTTATTTAAGTTTAATTTTTTTATTTACCGTCAGTTTCACATTTTAAACTATTTAAGTCTACGCGTAAATAGTAATTACCTGCAGGCTTTAAAATACAAAAATGGTTTTCTCGAAGCCCATCCGTATGATATTGAACTCACATGCTAAATACTAAATGGACTTATATTTTCGACTCGATTCATTGACTTTTTAATTATATTTATAAATTATTTAAAATCAATGTTTTATGTAGCTCATAACTTTCATCTACGTGGCATCACTGTATACTTCAAATAACAGTTATTTGCAGAGCGACCAGTCTAGATAGTTTTTTTTATCAATTTTCTTTGGACTGCTTTTATATTTATTTATTAAAAAAAAAAATAGCAACTGTTTTGATTTCCTTAATATAATATATTTAACTTTGTTATACTATACATACGTTAATAATATATATGTATATATGGGCTGCACATATACCGCCAAGAATTTGAAAAAAAAAATTCTCAATGTGCAGTTAGGTTGTTTCACCTTCCTTTTCACTCTCTTAGTTTCCTTTTTAATCATTTGATAAAATTTACTTCAACACACTTTTTGCCATTTAATTAATTTTCGTCATTTCATTTGTCACTCTTTCGCTTTCCGCATTCATGCTTTATGGTTCATCTACTTGGTTTGTCTTTTTAAAAAATAAAAAAATAGTCTTTGCGTTGCTTGTATGTGTGTGTGTGTTTACCATTAGTTCTTTTCTATTACACACATACATTGAATTCTGTTATAATTTAATTATTATTTGTTTCACTTACTCCTAATTACATTAAGCTTAATATTAATTTGTATCTTTGTTTTTCTACATTTTCGTTTTACCTATAAATATACACACAGTCACCCTTAATTCGAAAGAAATTGATTATACAAAAATTAATATTCACACTGTTTTGGCAAACCAAAGTTTAAAGTATTTTATTATATACTCACTGATTTTCCAAATTAATATGTTTTGTATAAAATTTCGTTGCTAATTTTTTCATTGGCTTATAATTTATATAATTTTTGTAATTTTTCAGTTTTTCTTGCGTAAGTGTGAGCTAAACTTTATGTCTTCTGCTAAGAGAAAAACTCTGCTAATGAATTAAAATAAAGTAAAATAAAATAAAATAAAATAAAACAAACTGAAATAAAATAAAAAAAAATAAAATAAAATTAACATAAAATAAAATAAAATAAAATAAAATAAAATAAAACAAAATAAAATAAAAAAAATCATAAAAAAATAAAATAAAATAAAGTAAAATAAAATTAAATGAAATGAAATAAGATAAGAAATTAATTCAAATAAGAGAGCACAAAAACAATAAAATAAAAAAGAAAAATTTAAATGAAAAATTATAAAAAATTAAAAAAAAATATAAATTAAAATTTTGAGGCAAAACTGGTAAAAAAATTAGTGCTTCGTTATTCCATTTATTTATCCAGTCATTTTTCCAGCAATGAAAATTAAATTTTTATAATTTGGTCTTGCCATGTTTCTTCATTTTCCGTGAATATTATGTGTGCATAATATAATAATATTTATATAGCTTATTCTATACAAGTTAATGATTTTTTTATTGAAATATTTTTATTTATTATACATACATTTTTTTTAACAACTTAAAGCTTTTATTTTATGTATACAATAATTTTTATTTGCTTCGAAAAATATATGTATATATTGTGTTTTATTATGAGAATTAATATTTTAATATTAATAATTTAATTTTTTTAAACTATGACTTTAAAAAAAATTTAGGATGAAAACTATTTTTTCGACATTTTAATTTAATTTTCCATAAAAAGTATGAAAATATTGTATTTTAAAATAATGTTTTCTTAAAAGTGCTGAATTTTTACGCTTAAACATTAAAATAAAATGATTTTAAATTTTTTTTGTTATTAAATTAATGCACATATCAAAATTAAATATTTGTTTTAACGAAATTAATTTTATATTCGTCACTGCACTCTTTCCTTAAAAGTAACAGTGTGACGCAATCTCCAGACCAGATTTCAAATTTGTCATTTTGATTGAATTCAATAGGATTTGATGTAATGAAAATTATTTAAAAATTTTTTTTTTCAAATTTAAAAAAAATTCTTTTTCTATTCACTTTTTCAAAATATTTAATTTAACGATTTTCAACAGTTTTACCCTGTAATGAGCACGCCTATGCTATTAACTACTAATTCATAATTAATATAACGATGGTTTAATGGAAAAAATTACTATTTTACAATAAAAAAATAAATAAATTTCACTACTTGCACTTTTAGTTGCAATTATTATTGTTATTATGTGTTTTGTTATTGTTGCTTAGCTTATGTTTGATAAACTACATATGTATATTTTTGTATGTATATACAGATAATCATACTACGACGGAATTTATTTATGATCAACCTTAATTTGCTATAATTCTAAATAATAAATGTATGTCTTTATTGTTATGCGATAATATTTACATTGAATAACGTAATTATTAGCATTCATTTCGGTGAAGAAAAACAAAATAAAAAAGTTTCAACAATATCTAATTATTATTATAAAACCATTAATGATCAAAATAAAAACTCATATATATATATGTATATAATTTATTACATAATTTCGAAAATTAAACAATATTATATATTTACTGCTAAATTATAATTAATCTAAAAATAGAAACTTTCAAAATAAGTTGACATTTAAATTTATTTTCAATATATATTTTATTTATTAATTAAAATGTGTTTAAAAATATTTTATTGCATAATACAAAATCAAATATTTTATACCTATTTTATATTTATAAAATATTTTCGCTTTTTAAAATACAACCAACAAATGTTATATTTTTATTTATGTTTCTCAAATAAAACCACACAAGAATTAATTATGTTAAAAGTGTATAAAAAGAAAAAACGGTGAGAAGGAAAAATCATTACGTTTTTGTATTGAATATTATTTGATTCTATATTGTTTAATTGCATTTTAATATTTTAATTTTTCCCTTTTATTTTGATTTTTATATAAATATTTTATTTTGTAATGAAATATTGTATAATATTAAATTATAATTTTTTAATTTATTTTATTTCACTTTACATCATTTTATTTCCTATTTTTATTTTATTTTATTTTATCTTATTTTTGTGTTTAATTTTAATTTATTTCATTTTATTTTTATTTATTTCCTTTTTAATTTATTTATATTTATAATCATTTTCATTATTATTTTTTTTTAAACTTTATTTTATTTTCTTTGTTATTTTTTTTAAATATATATATTATATATATTTTTTTTTAATTAATATATTTTATTATAAATTACTTTGTTTCAGTTTTGATTTTTTTTAAATTTTTTCGTATATATTTTATGTTATTTAGTTTTTATTGATTTACTTTATTCTACCTTATGTCATTTTATTTTATTTATTTTGTTATTTTACCAATTTTTCTTAATTCAGTTTACTTTATTTTATTTTTATTTCCTGTTTGACCATTTTATTTAATTTTATTTTGTTTTATATAACGTGCATTTATTTTTAAAATTTTTTGTTAATTTAAATTTATTTTAATTTACTTTTATTGAGTTAATTTATTATTTATTAGATTTCACTTCATTTTATTTTATTATTACTATTATTTATATTTATTATATTATTTTCTCTTTTTCTTTTTCATACTTTATTATAATTTATTTTATTTATTCTACTTTATTTGATTTTATTTTTGTAATTTATTGTTTCATATGCATTTTTTTATTTATTTAGTTCTTTATACTATTTATTTATTTTCTTTATTTATTTTATTTCATTTTGTTTTATCTTAGTTTTATTTGTTATTTAATTTAATTATATTTATTATACTTTATTTTATTTATTCTACTTTATTTTATTTTATTTTTATAATTTATTGTTTTATATACATTTTTTTATTTACCTTATGCCATTTTATTTTATTTATTTTGTTATTTTACCAATTTTTCTTAATTCAGTTTACTTTATTTTATTTTATTTTTGTAATTTATTGTTTTATTTACATTTTTTTATTTATAATATAATTTTAGTGTATAATTTTTTTTATAATTTTTATATAACATTCATTGATTGTATTTTGTTTTAAATATATTTTATTTTTTATAATTTTTATTTATTTTTATTTATTTAATTATTTTATTTTATACAATATTTTTTTATGTTTTCTTCTCTTATTTTTAATTTTTTTACTTTACTTTGTTTAATTGTATTTATTTTTTTATTAAATTGTTTATTTCATTTTATTTTAGTGTAAAATTTTTTTACATTGAAATTTTGTATTTTGTTTTGTTTTAAATTTATATAACATTTATTTATTTTTCTTCATTTGTTTTTTATTTTATTTTATATAATTATTAGTTATATTTTTGTTTTCTCTTACTTTTTATTTTATTTTGTTTTATTTTATTTAATTTAATTCTTTTAATTTTTTTTTGTATTTTGTTTTATTTCATTTTATTTTAGTTATAATATTTTTATAAAATATTGTATTACATTCAACTTTTTCGTTTTAGTTAGTTTAAATTTATTTCTTTAGTTTTTTTTTATTTTTATTTATTTAGTTTTTCAATTTTATTTTATGTTAGTGTCATTTACTAACCCACTTATTTTATTTCCTTACACTATATTTTATTGCATCTTTTTGTTTTTTTTGTTATATTTCTTTTCGTTATATTTATTTTTTATTTTCTTTTATATTTCATTAATTTTTGTATGACTTTCTTTCGGGTAATATTATTTTAATTTATTTTTCATTGATTTTATTTTGTGGTATTTATAATTTTATTAATTATGTAAAGTATTTTTTTTATTGTTTTTTTTGTTTAAGTTAATTTTGTTTAATTTTATATTTCTATTAAGTTATAATTTTATATTAGTTTATATTAATTAATTTTATTTATTTTATTCTTATTTTCTTTATTTGTTATATTTATTATTTAATTTCATTATATTTATTATCGTGATTTAATTAATGAAAATTTCCGTGAAAAACATTATTAAAACATTTTAATGTAACCGAATTTGAACACCCAACAATTTATCGTAAAATATTTTAATTACCAAAAAAGAAAACTTATTTTTCCATAAAATTTTGTCGTTATTTTTAGACTAGAAGCAACAGAGTGACTCGGTGTACACTAAATGCAAATGTATAAGATTTTTTATTTTCTAGATTTTTAACGGTATTATTTATTAGTTTTTTTATTTATTTGTATATATTTTTCTAACATCCTCTCACTCGTAGTTGTTTATTTAAGTTTACTATTTTTAAGTGTAGCACATTTAGCTTAATATTTAATTTAAATATTTTATTATTTACCTTTATCGTTATTGTTTATTGTATGCAACCAAAATAAAAAATACCTTTCATTATTTTATTTTTTGTTTTTTTTTTGTTTTTATTATTTGTTTTTTAGTATTGATATTACTATTTTAGTAGAATTTTTTTTATTTGTCTATTTATTATTTTTTTAACAACATTTTTTTATATTTACTTTTAATACATTTTTTGATTAATATTATTTTACATACAATATTTACCAATATATATATATATATTTTTTTTTTTAATTTGCATCATTTAATTTTTTTTTCACTATTTATTCAACATTTAATGCTTCAACATAAATATATGTGTATGTACGTATGTATTTATTATTCAAGCACAATTACTTTTTACAAGCATTTTCACATTAATTTCAGTAATTTTTTTTTTTTTAATTTTTTGAAATAATTTTTTCAGCTATCATTTTTTTTCATTTAATGTTAAAAGCTCTTCTTCCATTTTATGACATTTTTCTTGCGCCTTTTTCTGCATTTGTGCCACCCTTTATGTCTATACAAATTGAAAACTACCAAATTAACTTTCAGAATTTCTTTTATTTATTATTTATTTAGTTTGTATATTAATTTTTAACAATTATTGTTATCATAATTATTATTTCTTGTACACATTTTAAATGCCTACATACAATACATTTACAGTTATTTATATAAATATTTCTAGCAGCTTATCTTGCCATTTAAATTCATTTCGCTTACAGTCTGCTCACCTCAAACTTATATACCAACAGCTGATTTAACAATTTCTTTTTTTTTTTGAATTTTTTTCACTAATATTTATTTTTATCATAAATTTTTTGTTTTAATATTTTATTTTTTTTGTCATATAAAATCTCTACATTTTCACTTTTTCAACAAAATGACATAATAATATATTATATAGTTTATTCGTCATTAAACAATTTAAAAATTATTATCTTTTTAATTTTTATTATTTATTGAATTTATTTATTTATTTTTGGGTTTGGTTTTCCATTATTATTTATTTGTTATTTCTTCATACTTTGAAGTATTTTATTTTTAAATAAATAAACCAATTTTTATACTTACAAACACTAGGTAAAACTTAAAAAACATGCGGTGCCATAAAAATTACCGACACATTTCAAAACACGCAATTTTCATACATACAAACAAAAATATTGTTTTTTTTTTTTTTTTTTTTTTTTTAATAAATTATTTAGGTTAAAATTAGCTTAACTATGCTACTACATAAAATATTTTTATTTATTAGTTTTCAATTTAATTATAATTAATTTTTATTTTCTTTAATTTTTATGCAACTTAAACTCACTGTCATTTCAGGGTTGCCATAACATTTTATACCTTTCATGAACTTCAAATGGTATAAAGAATTCGGTACGAAGTATGTCAGTACCAGAATGGGACAAGAGAGAGAGAGAGAGCTACTTGGGAACTAAGATTTATACCGCTCGGAGCAGAACGTTGAACTGAGTTGACTTAGTCATCTTCGTCTATCTGCCTATCTGGTGTCTGTCTATCTGTAAAGCTGATTGAATGCAAGCGGGTTCCCCAATTTTTTTGCTATTCCAATCTTGCTACGCAGTTTTACTTACAGACTGCCTTGATTATTTCTCCGAAACCGATTAGATCGAAACATTATTAGATAGCGCCCCCTCCCCATGTACCGACTTGGTTGTGAAATGAGGTTTTTAGTCGAAAAACCGTCAGAAAAAAGCATCTGAGGGCTTGAAACTTGACATGCAGCACACGTAAATTCATAAAATTATTGGCACTCAAAATCATCGAAATGGCAATATTACGACCTAGAGTTGCTCATGCAACCGATTTGTTGGATCTGATATTTTGGACCGAAATACCGTCAAAAAAGACTGCCATGTAGCCCCCCTCCCCACCCACAGCCAACCGTTTTTTTCTGAAATGAGGTTTTGTTTGAAAAAAAAGATCGATTTGTTCATGAAAGGTATAGAAGACAGCACTGCTCTCGTGTTAACTTAACTTATTTTAATTTTTAACATTTACATTGTTTTATTTTTCTTTATATATATGTAAAAAGCAGCCAATTTAGCATTTGTTTTTTTTTTAATTTTTCCGCGTTGTCTTGCTTTATTTTTCGTATTTGAACTTATGACCCAAGACTTTTTGTTCTAGAACTGCTTAATTAGATATTTTACATACATATATATATATGCATATATGTATATATATATATTTCACTTATATTTGTATTAAATATTTTCTCTTATACAAATATGAATTTTCTGTGTTTTTCTTTGTGTAAAAATTAAATACAACAATACAACCAACACACCCTGTACACCGCTGACACACTTTAACGCCTGCGTTATACGCTAGCGCCGCCGCTGCCGCTGCCACCACTGTCACCGACATTGGCAATCCCTTCACTCTTCTTAGCCGTCACTGTATGCGCACAGCAGTTTTTGTTTTCTTCTTCTTCTTACTAATCTCATTTTTTTTTTTGCATTCAACCGCTTAGCAGCTGATCTCGGCATGCTGATCCTTGTGACGTTCATTGTAACCTTGTATTGTGAATGGTGCCGCCACCGCCGAATCGGCGCCGACCAACGCAACACCATTACCATTTACACTCGCCACACCATTCGAGACAACGGCTACGGGTCCATTTTGTAGCGACGCATCCATAGCGCCATTCGATTTTGTGGTGTCACCATCAACGATTGGGCGCTCGGCGGCGTCTACGCTCGCCATCATACAGTTGTTCTGCGGCACCTTCATCAGCTGTATGTTGGCATAGGATGATGTGGGTGCCACTAGGCCGATGCCAGCACCTAGCTTGTGTTGTTGTAAGCTCTTGTTGAGCGCCGCCGGATCGAGTGTAATGCCGTCGAGTTGTGAGCAGAATGAGAGTGGCGGTTGTATGGTAGTCGGTGTGGGTTGTGGCGTGTCCAAGCTTATGAGTTTGGCTTCCTCCGCTTCGTGTACGGCAGGTTGTTGCTGTTGTTGTTGTTGTTGTGATGGTTGTGGTGGTAGTTGTTGGTGGTGGTGATGATGTTGATGATGATTATGATGAAGGTGATGCTGATGTGCATGCTGTTGGTTATAATTATTATTAGTAATATTACTCTGGTTGTTATTGTTATGATTGAGATGATTCATCTTGATGCCATTTATGCCGTTATGAAGCACTGGCGACTGTTGTTGTTGTTGTTGTTGTTGTTGTTGACAACTACTACCACTTCTACTACTCTGTGCGCTGTTAGCATTATTTGGCGCATTTTTGCCATTCATGAGGACGCCCTCATCATTTCTACCAACACCAACACAAATACCGCCAACGTTTGCTGCTGTGAGCTGCTCTGTCAACTCGTTGACATTGGCTGCGCTTGAACTATTCAACAAGGGCTGATCACTCTTCGAATTGGGTAATATGAAGGAAGTTTCCCAACAGTCATTGCCCGGCATTGAGGCGGCACCTTCAAATTCGACAACTGTCGGTGCTGCTGGTGATGCAATTGTTGGTGGCGTACAAATATCGGCACTGCATGCCGTTGAGACTTTGGCTGCGGCACCGTTAGAGCAGTGTGGTACATTATCCGGATTGGGCATCGGTGCCAGATACTCGGCATTCTGTTGTATTTGTGAGCAGAACTCCAGATTGCCGGTTGGCAAGTGTGCAGTCGTATTATGATCTGTTGCGAGTGGACGAAAGAAGCATGGCGGCAGGGGTGACTTCATTACTTCCTCGCTCTGTTAAGGAAAGTGAGTGTTTTGTGAGAGAGATATTTAACTAATTATATAACAAATGTATGTATCTATGAGGTAAATTTGTTGCCGATCTCTTACCTCTAACTTATTGATTAATCGAGATATACTTACGGTTAAGAGTGCCTGCATTCTTTCGAGTATACTCTGGAAGTTAGGACGATGCTCTGGCTCGGGATTCCAGCAATCGGCCATAATGAGATACATCAATTCGGGACAACCAGGTGGCTGACCTAAGCGACCACCGTTGGCAACGAGTTTCATAACTTCAGTATTTTGCATAGCCGGATATGGCATCATGCCTAAGCTAAAGATCTATAGGCGCACGAAAAAAGAAAGAGAGAGAGAGAAAATGCTACTTTGCTCGCCTGCAGAACCAAAACGAGAGCACTCACCTCCCACAGCAGTACGCCATATGACCAAACATCTGTTTTTGCCGTGAAAATGCCATCCACATATGCCTCTGGTGGCATCCATTTAATGGGCAGCATGGCCTTACCACCTTTACGATAATAGTCACTGCGATATATATCACGCGCCATACCGAAATCAGCGATCTTCACGGTTCTACCCGGCCCCGAGCTGCTAAGCAGACAATTGCGTGCCGCTATGTCGCGGTGTATGAAACGTTTACTCTCCATGTACTTGCAACCATTGGCTACATCCTCCGCCGCGCGTAAGAGATCGCCCATTGTAAGCTCCGATGCCTTGCCGGGCTTGTTGCGACCCTCACGTAGGAAATTCTTCAAATCACCACCGGAGAGCAATTCGAGCACAATGAAACGCGGATGCCGATCGAAACAAACGCCCAAAAGGTGTACAATATTGCCATGATCGAATTTCGACATAATCGCCGCTTCCATAAGAAAGTCTTCCTCTGCTTGATGTGTCGACATTTCTGGTAGTGTTTTTACAGCGACAGGCATTTCAACGGTATCGTTCTGGTGCACACGATAGAAACCTTGATAAACTTCACCAAAAGCGCCCTGACCGAGTGCGCTGCATTGGAGCGTGCAAGGAGAGAGAGAGAGAGAGGGAGGAATAATGTGGAATACACATGTAAGTGAGAAGCTCGCAACACAACATGTTCGCATTTACACTCACCTCACGAGTCGCAGGTGTTCGCGTATAATCTGTGGCAATTGCTTAACATCGATCTTGCCATTGAGCATACCATCGCAGCCGTAGTTGGGATTGAAGTTGGTTAGATTCGGGTCGTCGATGTTGTGTCGCAAGCGGCTGAGTTGTAGATCCTGTTCGAGTAGCATTTTGTGCCGAAGCTTGGCCTGCTTTTTACGTTGATAGCGATTGTCTGGAAAAAATGTAGGAAAGAGTGTTAAATGGCGCGCGCTTTGTATGCTTTGGCCAAGAGCTAAAAAGTTTGCACTCAAACTCGGCTAATGGGTTGCTAGTTTCCCCCATCAATACTCACATAAAATAATGATAAGCGCTGTAAGTGCAGAGGCCAACATCAAAGCAATAGCGATAAAGAATGCCATCAGATATGGGAAAGTTTGAGTTTCGTTGGGTAGAACTGTGAACCACAAAATAATATAGGGAATTTAAAATAAATCCAAAGAATGCCGTCGATAAACTACAAAGCGCGCAACAACTTACCCTCACACGCCGTTTGATTATCACGTTTGAGACGCCAACCCTCCGGGCAGATACAACGTACCATCGAACGATATTCATCTAAAGCTATGCAACGATAGTCGCAACCACAACCCTCGATTGCCGGTATAATGACGACCAAGCCGGAACCACTGGTAGCGCCTTCATACACCGTATTGAACTGTTTCAAACTGCGACTAACGCTGATGAACGAAGTACCGCCCTCGCCGTTCGATTCGTTTAGATAGACATCGCCACCAGCATAGCCGCCACCGCCACCACCAGTATTGCAACCACCGCCGCCACCGCCGAAACCACCTTGTCCATGCCTGTTCACCGTACTGCTATTGCTGCCCGGCGCTTCGGTGTAGCAAGAATGACCGCCACGGCCGCCCTGCAGCAGGGCAGCACCATACTTTGGACTTAGCGCTTGATCATCTTTGGCGCGCCAACCGCCACCCGGACCAGCGGTCTTCAAATGTGTATTCAACGAATCGCCATGTATTTGCCCAGTAACGCCAAGTCGCGTCGGATTCGGTTTTTGTCCGTGTTGGAACTCTTCATCGATATACCGGCCAATGCCGAGACCACCGCCACCACCTGCGACCATTAGCGGCACGGCTTCATTTTTCGCCGAGTTGAGCTGGAAGTGTATAGGAATTGTATGCATTTGGGGTTGATTAAATGGAAGTGAATTGAAATCAAAATTCTTGTACTCACCAAGAAGATATACGATGCCCCACCACCACCACCAGCGCCATACTCAATGTAAATATTCTTCACCATATGCTGTTTCGAACTGAAGCTGTATTGACTCAAATCTATATCATCCTCATCGGCGCGGCAACCCTCCTCCGAGCTTGTACTGAGCGACTTGATGCACGCGCTCTCACCCTGTTGGCCCACCAATATGAAGAGCTCTTCGTTTTTGTGCAACTCGAGTACGGCAACGGCCATAGCGCCACGCGAGGAACCAATGCCGCCCGAACCGAGTCCACCGCTGGCGCCTTTGGCAATAATGCTGTGAGAGTAGAGTGAGAAAATGAGAGAGATTAATCGTCGGCGTAAAGTTTCATCATCTGCGAAAACTTACGTGTAGTAACCCTCGTGTGGCACCTTCCACTTCTGCATGCCCTTGAATAGACTTGGCTCTTCGATAACATGCACCTCCTTCAGTACATGGCTTCGATTACTCTCCTTGTATGAAGCTTCACACTGCTGCTGTGTGGGTCCTATCATGCCGCGCGTGTCACAAGCTGTTAACTCCAGATCTGTTTGGGAAAAACAATGCATTAACTCTCTCTCTCTCTCGCGCTCTCTCACTACATTGATCTCATGTTACTTACAATGTTTGTGTTCATAGTCCTTATGTGATGGACTGCGGAAGTTATGCCGCACATCCCAGTAGTTATAACCGTTAAGATATTCCTTCGGTATATTTATGCCAAAACATTCGGGACTGAGTGAAATGTCATCAACTGCGACGTCTGAGAAAATGCGCATACCTTTGCGTGCCTCAAAATGTAAATAGTATCTGTTGAAGATTGGAAGATGGAGAGAGGGAGAGAGAGAGAAAGAGAGAAAGTCAATCAAAGGCTCCTGGGAGAAGACGTATGTCACAGAAGATGTTTCTAGTTACCAAGATCTACAGCATAAAAAGGATTTGAATTCGGTTTAGTATGAGCTTAGAGTTCGCCGAGTGGAGGAAAGAGTTCCACGACCAGCGGTCATCCGTAACCGCTCCATGTTGCAATATGTCTGTTATCTCAAGCTCAAAAGTTTCGAAATATTCGGTAGTTCGCTTGAAAGGCGATACAGGGAAATGCAGCGTATGGCCTGGAGCTCAAGACAGCTTTTCGGTAAAATTGAAATGAGCTTCAATCTATGCCGTTCCTGGTATATTCGCCGGGGGCGTTTATTGAATAAATGTAGTTGTAGCAAACAAGAAGTCGTGAACCTGCTGAGTTTCTACATATCCAAAATTTCGGCAATTAAAAGCATTTTTAAATTAAATCCCAGCATTCAGATAGAAAATGGTTGAACCTCACAGAAAAAGGATCTGGACGAATTCGAACTAGAAAACATAGGTAAAGGAAACGGAATGCTCATAAAAAGAGTCATTTCGACGTCCTCAGAGCAGAGTGAAAGGGGTATTGGATTAGTTGGTTTTAGTGGGCATGCGAGGAGGGAGTTAGTTTTGCGCGAGTACCCTTTAGTTGCCTAACATACGTTCAGTAGGTCGGAGTCGAGTCCGGTCACTCTGGAGTTAAGATTACTACTGTAGCCACATCTTAAATGTGTTTGTAAGACTCAGCTCTCGCAAGGCAGCTCGAGCTCTTCATCTGTTAAAGGCGTTGATTGGATGAGAGAGTCGACGAAGGTGTTGTCGGACTGTTTTGTACTGTATTTTCCAACAAATGGACCGACCTACAGTTTATACCAAGCCGCCCCCGAACGGTTGATGGTTGTTTATAAAAAGCCGCTATCTCAATAAACTCGGAGGGATTGACAATCCCTGCCGAGGGGCGAACGCAACAAGGAAATTTAACTTCATCAGCATACATAGCGACACACAATAAATGACATTGACTTACTTGGAGGTGATGTTCGGCAAGATGTATTCGGCGCGCAACCAATCACTGCCCTGATTCTTACTACTCCACCATAGAGTTGTCGTGATATTTTCCTTCTCCTTCATCTCAACCACCGATAAGTTTATACTACCCGGATTCTTGCCAAATTGATGTATATAAAATCGCACCACACACGAATTGCGATACGGCGAATTGGGATTACCATGTACCAGTGGCGGCGGATTAAACGTTTTACTAATCATAAACGCATTACTAGCGAAACCGACTTGTAAAGCCTTCTCCGAATTATTCATGTGCTGATTCATGTTCACGAGCATATAATAACCGCCAGTGGCATTCAAGAGGTGTTGTTGTGTATGATCGCCATCCGGGCCGGTGTCGTGTGTTGGTGATGCGCCCGTATGACGCGACCATGTGAGCATAGTCTTGCCCGAATCACGCCAACCACACCAGTCGTGTTCGAAGTCGCAGCGGCCACCATAAGGAATTTTATCTGTTGGAAATAGAAAAAAGAATAAAGATAAAAATGTAACTGAGATTTTTTTGCATAAAAATCTTTTGAGAATCGAGTGGAGTTGGCGCAGAGTGGACTATCTACTACGCTTCCTGTATTAAATGATACTTGAGGCTATAGCTTAACACGCCTAATAGAATGCCATTGGAGCGCGTGAATAACTTGACATTGCCACTGAACCTATGCGGCATACACACATACTCGTATATGAGCATATGACTAAAGCTTTGAATTGAAGAAGAGTCTTTCGTACAGTGGCTTGAACCAAGAGAAGCCAAAATCAAATCTATTAAATTAGCGCGTTGTAGCTGCTGAAATGTTTATCGACCGAACTCCGGCCCACAATTCAATCTTAGCCGCCGCCGAACGGCCAAGAGATTTTTACCAGGAGCTTTTATTTTTCGTGCCATAAATATATACTCGGAGGGCTCGATAATCCCGTGTCTCGAAGGGCGAACGCAATTAGAAAATTAAATTTTCTATAATTTTGGATATTTGTGAAATCAGCACTCGATCCGTGGCCTTCCTGCTCTTTATTTTTGGTTGGATTCACGAAAATCACTACAATTATTTTCAGAAGTGGAATGGTTAAATAAACTCCGAAGGATCAAAATTAGATATAGTCACATTTTAAGGGCTGAGAAGGAGTAGCTGGAGTTGGAGTAAGAAGCTTGCCAACCGATTGAAAGGAAATAGTAGTGGCCATCAGAAAAAAGGAGGCGACGGGAATGTCCAGATTAATTCCAAGGATACATCTCTTTTTTGTTGGCGACGAGCCAAGCGTTATCCAACTCAAGCCCAACTAACCAAAGGACGCGCCTGTAGGACTTAAATAGTTGAAAGAAATTACCTGCTGCTGGTATAATGAAGGTCGAAACTAATCTAACTACTTTTCTGACATGCATACCCCATTGGGCGTAGTTTCGCAAAAGATAGTGACACAGGATGCGCTCATACTACAAATATTGGTCACAAAAATGATGGAACTGTGGATGTGAAGATAAAGATGAGTTACTCAGAGCTAATAAAATGCTGAAAAAGTGGCAAAGCAAAGTCGGACCTAGTTGTAACGCAGCAAGAGATTGAAGGGTATCTACAGAACCCTTAGTTATATCTTTCGGCATGATTCTTTTCAAAGTTTTCATGATGTAGTATGGGACTTTAGCAAGTTATTGAGGTCTGGATGATAAAACTGCTGACTTATTCATAGCACTGATTGAACAGGCAGTGGAGATCCTACTAACAGTTCCCGAACATGAGAGGAATAACTATGAGGCATTAATGCGAGGAGAAAATTATTTTAGTTGGAACTAGTGAGCCCATGAGAATCTGCCTGGAAGGCAAACCTTTGGAGAACACCCCTCGTTGGTACTAGTGAGCCAATGAGAATCTGCCTGGAAGGTTAAACAGCGGCATATGGGCAAACCTTTGCAGAACAATGGCAGGCAGACGCCTTGTGCCCTGAAGGTGGAGCTGGAGGATCGAATGCAGACCATTCACAGACCAAGAAAACAGATGTTGATCATGCACTTGGAGAGACTGATAGGCCTTGAGTGGAGGGTTGTATGGCAAAAATTCCAAGTTCGTTCTGGAGAACATTTGAACACAGAAAGTTACAGTAATTAATGGGTTTATAAGACGATGCCATTTACAGTATTTTCTTCCGAATTTTCATGAGAAGAGAATACCAATGGCTGACTCACATAGAACTTGCTGGTTTGACAGATGAAATTCTGTCAAAGAATCGCATCGAAATGCAACTCTGACGCAGAGTGAGACAACACTCATACGTGAATCATCTTTAAGCCGCTAACCCCATAAGTGGATTTTTCGTTTACCGTCATAAAATTTATACACCAGTTTTTGGCCACACTTGCCACACTGTGCGACGCGCTGCTGGTCAAGCAGCAATCAGCAGTGTTTGCGCAAATTATTTCAACAATGACAGCTTTTGTCACTTCACAACACACACACACACACACACACATACACACACACACACACACACACATACACACACACACACACACTTTCACCTCCTTACTTAGCTCTTAAACGCTATCAATTTTTCTTCTGTCCACTTACCGCAATTGAGCAACTCATCTTCGCCATCGTCACAATCTTTGGTGATGTCGCAGATACGTGGCAGCGGTATGCACACCGGCACTTTGTTCGCCATACATTTAATTTGCGATGTACTACATTTCTCCGACTTGGTGCCCTCCGGGAAGCAATTCACCATACGTAGATTATCGATGGCCACGTGCGCCTTCTGTGTTTTACCCAATTTCGGTACGATTTCGAAGACAATGCGGAAATCACGTGATATGCGTCCGAGTCGATAGAATTTCAAGCCCCATTGACGAAAATTATCGCCGAGTATTTCGGCTGGTACCCATGAGCTCTCCTGCGAATGCAATGGCTCAACAACGACACGTGAAAGTCCATGACTCATGTCACTCTGGTGCATGTAAACTTCGAGAAAGCATTTCTCCATGGTTGTGCTGAATTGTGGTGAGGTGAGATTCACTTGCTCGGTGGTGGGTAGTAGACGGGCGTACAGAAAGTGACCTGTCATGGTGGGTGTTTTTGATTTAATGTACATAATAAAATAATGAAATCCATAATGTTATCTATGGATGAACGAGTACATACCATTTGCATCGTCTGTTGCATCGGTAATCGGTCCTGGATATAAACCGGTCATATTTCGTTTCACCAACTCTGTGCCGCTTATCACTTCGAAACCATCTTCCAGACCCTCTGCCCATTTCCAGGCGCAGGGCGTTTCAAATGAACATTTTACGCCAAGTTGATCTTCGATTTCCGAGGAAGGTGTGGAATCCAAGTGTACTTCGTAGGGACTCTGGAAATAAGAGAAAGATTTTGTTAGTATTTTACATTCTTATGTAGCTGCTAGAAAGGATATGCTTGGTTCGCGTTCAATTAAAAGGTCGCACTTTGGAGATCTGTTGAGGGTTAACGCTTTTGGAGAGAGATGTTTTAAGCTCCCTGCGGGGTAATCTAGATAACCTGCCACGAAATATCTGTGATTTTTTACGTATGAAAATCCTCTTCTGACTAGGAGAGACATTGAAATCCACAACCGACCTTGAAGTCTATGAGAATCTATGAGTCTTTATAAGCCGGAGTCAAAAAAAAAAAACTTTTTAAAGTCTCGACTCTTGGAGAAAAACGAACTTTTCACAATTCAGCGCCGACTTACATTAGCAGCTCAGTGGAGTATGAGTAAAGCCATATACTCTTCATAAGGTGCATTATCCAACAGCTTATTTTTCTAGTTGAGCTCGCAAAGAATGTCAACACCTTCGACTGTACATCGGATATGAAATAAAATGATTTTCTCTTCCGCCGCCTCCTAAGAGTTGATGGAAGAAACATCAAGACGTACAAATTACAGAAGGAGCTCATTGGACGCGACTTCTCCTCGTTCTTTGTCATCCAAACGAGGTCTTTGTTAATATAGACTGCCTTGGGGATCACAGACATGGTAATATCCGTCTGCCGTCATTTAGACTTCACTAATTTTGAACCTTACAGCAAAGTTGCTACCTTGAAGTAGGGAAATTTTCAGATGATCTCAACTTTAGTTGCCGGAATACTCACAACTTGAGAACTCTTCGTTTCGTTTTTAACCCTTAACCTTAACGAATCTTCAACGTGAGCTTGGGAACTACTTTCAGTAACTCGTGCTCGAGTTCTCCTCGGAAAAGTAGGGAACTTTATCTGACAACGCCTTCTTGGACAGTTGACACATCACACCAAGTTGGGCATCATCTTTAAGCTCTGAAGTAACTGACTTAGGCGTAATTGAGACTGTCGGTCGCGATTTCCATTTTTATTTTATTTTTTAACACTAATTACTTGATTACAGTAGAGGTCCATGCATAATGACAGCGAACAGTAATGAAATTCAACCTCATTTCTCGCTATCAACACGTTTTCTACGTCTGTCTTATGTGCCCAACAACTACTTCAACGGTACTGTCACCTAATTGATTGAATTAAGCTCATTTCTCGCTTGGTACTGCTACTGCTATCAGCTCGATGCAAGCAACTGCCGGCGATATTGCTTGAGTTGGAACCTCAGCCAGCAGTCGGAGGCGGAGGGTGGACGAGGCGAGGCGAGGCGAGGCGAGGCGTAAATAATTTGTGATTTCATTTAAAATAGCAACAGCCGAGACACTTTCATTCCGCTTTACTTGTACTTTTCTTTCAGCTGTCACCATAATTTTACCGCAAAGCGAGCGACTCAACGAAGTGTGTTCTTCCTAATTCTACAAAAGCTATGTATAGACTGCCTGGCAGCTCGGTAAACAACAGCCCCTCTACGTCTCTCCACATCTCTTTCCGCCGTCCATCTGCTCACACATACATACAAACAGAGATACTAGTATGTCTGTGGCACGCGGCTGCTCATTAAACTGACAGCTGCAACATGTAATGCGGTTGTGAATTGTCCGTAAATGGCGCGGTGTGCTGTTGTAGAAGAGGTAAATGCCTTAAGTTCATTTCCGTTAAGTGATTACGGTACAACACTGTTGGAAACTGACGGCTGATGGTGAACTATGACGAAGAGTGGGAGGAGAGAGTTGATAGGAGGAGGAACGGCTAGAAGTATAAGTAATTGTGTGGATGTGTGACTGTGTGGTTCACTATGGAGATTGCTTGGAGGGCAAAAATGCGATGCAGATAAAGTGCAGCTGCAAATCTCTACACTTGTTTTTGTCTACTTCTTAGTGGATTTATTATTTTTAGCACAACACAACAACACAAACAGAAACTTACCGATTTGGGTGCTGTATTGCGCATCTTCTCCTTGATCACTTGCAATGGATCTCTATGCTCATCCACTGCGCCATCATCGCCATCGATATTTCCATTAGTGACACCACCATCCGGTTCGTCGGCTTGGCCCTGTCCGGGCGGAAAACGTTGCTTATTCAATTTGCGTATTTCCAATATGGAATTGTAGGATTTCTTCGGACTCATGCGCAGCGGCTTGTCGTCGATAGTGCCTGTAAAGTGTTGAAAAAACAGGAAAATACAAGCATAAAATTGCGGTTGAAATGTTAAAGTAATGAATTCTCTGCAGCTGGTGCTACAAATGCTGCTGGTAACAAAGTACTTAAGATTTCCTCCACAGAATCGCAGAGGAAGTTGTTAAATTAAGCATTAGTTTGGTGACACCGAGCTTAGAAAACCCGAAAAAATTACATTAAACTCACCCGCTTGATTGATGACGAATTGTGGCGGATAATGCGTTGCATACACAGCATCCAACCCCGGACGTATTTGCTCACCATAACGGTCAGCGGGTCCCAAACTACCAAGCCCATCGATCTTGCCGATAGATGATGTCGCCGTATACGATGGATAGCCCTTATTACTGCCACTTTCGCTGCCACTCGGTCCACCCACAGGTGGTTTCATCAACTCTTTGCGCAACGATTCGATACCACGTCGACCACTACCACGATCCGGTCGTCCGTTGCTGGATAGATTAAATCGGCGTCGACTGTTGTCGCTACGTCCACCACCACGTCCACCCAAGGGCGGTCCACGTGTGCCATCCGTACCGTCAAAGTCGTCATAGAGTGCCAGACCACGTTGCGGCAGCGTTGACATTGTCACCTGCGGCATGGGCATATCGCGTGTACGTCCATTACGCAGCTGTTTGCCGCTACCCAAGTAATTGTGTTGTTGTGCGGCCGCAATCGAATTGTAGTTAGTGTGATTGAGCAATGGCCGCTGACAGTGGACCGGCGTGAGTGCGGTCCAACTGTTTACGACGAGTAAAATGCATAATGTGCGGACCAGTGTATGCGTTGTTGTTGTTGTTGTTGTTGTTGGGCGAACATACAAATGGGGCAACAGCGACGTTGCTGACGACGGCAAAGTGGCGAGCTTCAGTTTCGTTGTTGTGCAGTGTTGCATTTTGTGTGTTCGCCTGGTGCTGAGGGACGTGCGAAGAGCTTTACTTTCTTATGGTTGAGTGTGAAATGCTTTTTGCTTTGTTTTTGTAATGTGGTTGTTGTATGTAGAAATTCAAATTCTTTGCGAATTCTGTCGTCCTGCTGGGCGACGTTATGAAAATTATTTTTATTATTATTTTTGTGATTTCCTTTTATGGTTAAATCCCATTCAAATCTTCTGCATAGACAGCGCTGTAGATTTGGGTTTAACTTTTAAATTTATTCCAACACTTTGGCAATACTTTCGACGGCTCGGTTGGTACATTTTTCAGCATTTTATTTCTTTTCTTGTCTTTTATCATGTTTTTATCTCTATATTTATGTATATGAGCTTTGAGTGCTACAGACGAGCTCAAAGCGAATTTTGTATTTATGGCTTTAGGTCCGCCTTGTATGTTGCTCCATTTATTGCCTTCCTAGGCGGAAGCATTGTGGACAATGAAAAATGAGAAACCTGTGAAAGAGAAAAAAATGTAGTAGATTAAAATTTATTCTTTAAAAAAAGTAGGGAAAGATATTTTCCAAAATGTAAACATGTTTATGTGAACAAAAATAGGTCATTAAATTTTTTTAAATGTTGTTATTTAAACTAATGAAGTGATAGTAGATTTTTATTAATGATTTATTTCAATTTTAAATTTGTTCAATATATATATATAGATCTAGTAAAAAGTAGTCCATTATTATTGCAATGGACGTCTTCAATGATCTGCCTCTCGTCTTCTCTAAGTGCGATTGAATTACCCAAAATGGCGTTAGAAAGATGATATTTTGCGCTAAAAGGGATATCGAAAGAAGCGTTCATCAACTAACTCAGTAATGTTTGAACGCCTGTCGAAGTGGTAGGCCAATTGTCGAAAATGTCCATAATAAAAAAGGGAAATCGACCGATCGTCGAGTCTTACCGACTCGAGCGAGCACTGTTTCGATTGCCCAGAAGCTAAACATTGCACAAAAAATAGTTTGAAACCAATTGAAAATGGTTTGCCGATAAATCTTATTTATTTTTTAATCAATTATGTTTTCATTTTTATTAATTTCTGAAACATAATTCATTTTTTTATTTTTATTTTATTAAATTTGATTTATATTATTTTATATTGTTTTATTTTATCTCATTATATTTAATTTAATTATTATTTTTCTTTAGTTTACTAAATAAAATACTAATATTTTTTTCTTTAATTAACTTAATTCATTTTTTATTTAACTTAATTTATTTTTTATTTTTAAGTATTATTTTACTGTTTTTAATTTAATAAAGTTTTTAGTTTTTTATTTAATTTGGTTTTATTTTATTTTCTATTATTTTTTTATTTTCCTTTGTTTTCTTTAATATAATTATAATTTATTTGATTTTGTGTTTATTTAGTTTAGTTTATTGCAATATTTTTGTTCCAATCTGTTTTATTTTATTTTATTATTTATTTTGATTTTATAAAATATTTTTATTTTAATATTTTTGCTTGTTTTATTTAATTTTATTTTCTTCAATTTAATATTTTTTATTTCAAATAACTTATTTTTATTTTCCTTTGTTTCAATTAATTTGATTATTTTCTAATTTATTTGGGGCAAATTTATTTTTTTAATTGCATTTAGTTCATTTTAATTTTATTTTATTTATTTAATTTTATTTTATTTAGCTCTATGTTATTTTATTAAGTTAATATTTTTATGTAATTTAATTATATTCCATTTTTTTGTTACTTAAAATTTTTTTTTATTTATTTAATTTTAAATTCTTTATTTAATTTAGTTTTATTTTACTTTATTTAATTGTTTTCTTTTATTTTAATTAATAATTTCTTCTATTTAATGTCATAAATTTTTAACTTAATACAATTTAATTTTTTGAATATGCTTTAATTTATTTTATTAAATCTATTTTATATTTATTTTCATTTTTATAATTTTTTTATTTTGTTAATGTTAATTTTTTTCCATTTAATTTAACAGATTTTATTGTTTTAATTCTATTTGAATTAGGTTTATTTTATTTTACCATTTTCGGTTTCTTTTATTTGCATTAATTTGGTTTTTTTTCCATTTTCTTTAAAACCACTTTGTTTTTTTATTTAATTTAAAAAATTTATTTTTTTTATTGAATTTAATATTTAAATATTGTTTGATTATTTGTTTAATTTTTTTATATTTAATTTGATTTTATTTTTTATATATATTTTTTTTTAATATAGTTTTATTTTTGTTAATTTCATTAAATTTAATTATATTAATATATATAATTTCGTTTTATTATATTATTTCAATTTTATTTTCTTCTATTTTAATAAATAATTTGAAAAAAATTCTTTTGTTTTATTTTACAAAACTAAATTTTTTAATTAAATTTACTTTAGTTTTTTTTTGATATTGTTTAAATTAATTTTAGTGTATTTAATTTATGATTTTATTCATTTTTAAATTTTTTTTTTATTTAATTTTATTTTATAAATTTTTTTTTAATATAATTTTATTTTTGTTAATTTCTTTAAATTTAATTATTTGAATATATATATATAGTTTCATTTTATTATATTTATTTTATTATTATTTCTTCTATATTTTCGATTTTGTTTTCTTCTATTTTAATAAATAATTTGAATAAAATTCATTTTTCATGTTAATTTCACTTAATTTAATTATATATTTATATGTTTTATTTTATTTTACAAAACTAAATTTTTTAATTAAATTTACTTTAGTCTATTTCGATTTTATTTAATTTAATTTCAGTGTATTTAATTTTTGATTTTATTTAATTTTTGAATATTTTTTATTTTCATTTTATTTTTATTTTATTTTATATTGGTTGATCTGAATCATTTCTTATTCACTTAAAGCAATAAATTAAACTCAAATTCTGGTTTTTGGGTCCCCTTTGTGCAAAAGACAGTCTTGTTTTGACTATCTCTACTTAGTTCGGAAGAGGAATAGGTCACAATGATATACATATAATAGGGGCGCGACGAGTTTGCTCTGATGCAGTAGAATAGAGTTATTCAGTAACTAATTATTTTTATCCGATTTTTACTCTAGGACAATTCTTAACTGGATTTTTTGACACTTGACTACCAAAAATTTTATTTAAGGTCAAATGTATAGAAATAACTAATAATGCTTTTGATATTGCATTTTAGAAAAAAAAATCACTATCCCTAGAAATTCTCACACACAATAGATTCTTTCTACAAATCTGCGTTTTCCATTTTCACAAGTCGCTACATAGCGATTTTCAGTGTTATTTTTCTACTTCCAAAGTTTTCACTATTAAAGTACATTTTTCGATAATTAACATTGAAAGTGTAAAACTTTCATTTTCATGCGATTTTCACTATTTTTTGTTTTACGACGAATTTATCACTTGCAATTTTCACCAGAAAATAAGAGGAGACAAAAAATATAGTAACAGAAAACTCTGTCCAATTTAGTCGCCACTCACAACACTCCAAATAAATTTTCACTTCATTTCGATTTGTGTTGCTTCGTCGCCTCCCTATACATACATATGTATATTACGATTTTCGCAGCCTGATTTTGGGAGCCTCGTTTTCTTGCAAAGTTTTTTTTTCGCCCAGCGGCCATATTGCACAATTTTTCTCAAAACCACTTTTTCTTTAACTGTAATTCATATAAATTTTTCATTAATTTCATTTATGTACCACATTTTCCATTTTCATTTTTCATTAGTAAATTAATAAATTTTTTTTTAGAAAATAATTAACTGAAAAATATTTGCCGTACCAGTGCCGTGAAAAAGTTTGGTTGCTGGCTTCTTCTGCGCAGAAATAATTTGCAAACATCCTTTTTTTGCTTTCGCTCGCTGCTCGCTGTTAGCTGCTCGGCCAGCCAACCAACCGAACAAGCAACCAACGATGGAAAAGCAGCCAGTGGATTGGATGCTGTTTTTGGACGCAACAATAGCAGCGGTGAAAGCGTAAGCAGAAAACGAAAGAACCGGAGATGCTGCAGCATCATAACCAGCGATGAGATGTGAAAGCAAAAACCGCTGTGAGTGCTTGAAGTGAAATAACAGAACTGTTTATGGAGAAGGAGAAGGAGAAAGAGAGAGAGAGAGAGAGTTTCTATTGTTCATAAGGAGAGTTAATCGAGAGCGGTAAATTGAAGTTCTCAGGATATTTGCGTCGCCACAGCAGAACAATGAGCGGAAATTTGTGCAGATAGCGCAACACACATACGCACAAACAAATATACAAAAATACGTGCTCGCGCCCAAATGGTTGCTGGTACAGCTTCGTGTGCGTCGTAAAAAGTTCATACTACTCCAAACAGAGTTAGGGCAGGCAGGCGTATAGGCAATCGTGTTGTACGATGCTTTTGGGCGTCGCTGAAATTTCACTTTTAACATTTTTATTTTTCCAACTTTTGATCGCTTGCTGCCGACGTCCATCCTTCGGCGACGGCGTACGAAACGGCGCTGCAGTGTTTTTGGTAGCAGCGAAGTTGGTCCTTTGGCAATAAGAATCTGTTGGATTTGTAATTGTTGAGTTTTCAATTTACACTTTTTTTCAATTCTACATCCCAAGCGTCTCTTCAAGTTGTTTGCTTTTGATTTCTGATCCAATGAAGCTTCTCTGGAAATAATATATAAAAATGGAAATTTTTGGAGGCCCGAACGATGAGCTAAAGCATAAGTAAGTAGAGACCTTTCTCAAGCTAACGACAACAAGTGTAGGTAAAGGTTGGTAAGGTAAGCTCGGGACCTTCACGTTAAAATAAAATCCAATGAAAAAATTGGAGCAACAAGTGTAGACTGAGACCTCCCACTTAGATCGAGGACAGAAAACTGAGAAGGAGTACTTTAAAGGTTGGTCTCTTTAATGGAATGCAGCGGATGGGCATCGGCGTCATTTAGCAAGTTCAACTAGTGAACAACCAAGTGGAAGAAACGGATATAAGGAAATCTTCGAGGTCGAAAGGGTTAGAACTAGCACTAAGATATCTGCAGTAGAAGTTCAATGTTGAATAGAAGGCGTCTGCCGTCTGTTCCTTAGCCGTCTGTTATCTAAGATTATGCTCTGATGCCACACCTCTGATGCTGGACCTCAAACAACCCTTTAGGCTGCATTATGCAATATGCAATATTTTCCGAGCGGAAGCATCAACTTATCAAGACTTCTTGATAATTCAAAGCTTAATCTGCCAGTAGAGCGGAATAGTTAATAAACGTTCCAAAAGTACTATTCGTCGACTGAGCTGGAATAGTAATAATAATGAGAATAAGAATAAGAAGAAATGTTGAAAATTTAAGCACGGAATCGGATGAAAGTGCTACAAGACAAATATGAAAGATTGAATAACTTAGTGATAATATGTAAGGAAAGAGAAGAAGGACAAAGTCCGTTCCTACTCAGTCGAAAACGAAAGGACTCCTGAACCGTTGAATGTCAAATGTATCAAACACACTACTCAGATAATTAGAGATCTTGAAGT